CAGGCGATTCTACTACTATACGAAGTAGATAAGCTAGCAACTTTAAGTGGGCAGGAAATACGCCAGATGCCTTCTTTTTCTTCTCAGCCATTTCTTGGGAAGGGGGATCTACGTAGTCAAGGCCAAACCCTTACCCTGCCTCTCCGTAACCCCATACCCCTTGGCTTCCACTTCGGTCTTAACCAGCCTTAAAATACGCTGGGCCCCTTCGAAACTCCCGACGGAGGTGTGGGAAAACAGGAAGCACCTTCACATCATTACACTGAGCGGGTCACCCACCCCAGTATCAACCGAGCGGGCCACTGGGCAGAAGGCGGCTCGGCCAGCGGGAGAGGGAGGGGGGCAACGAGGCCGCGCGGGGCTCGGGGCCGGTGCGTTCGCTCCTCCCTGCGACAGCCGCGGGGAGAAAGCCGCCCGAGTGCGGAGGGAAGAGGTGGCGGGCGAGCGGGCGAGTCCTTCCCTGCAAGGCTGGCTCATCAGCGGGGACTCCGCCCGTAGCGCCCGCCTCGCCGGAGCCCAGGTCAGGGATCCACCGGAGGGGAGAGGGCGGCCCCAGGGCCCTTCCAGGCCTACCTTCCCCGACTCCCTGGGCTCCATGGCCCCGCTTGCGGTGGCCGGTGCTGACCCCGCCACTGCCTCCAGTCCGCCCCCTCCCCCCGCGGCCTGGCCTGAGGATGCCGCCGCCGCGACCACCTTGGGGACCCGGGCCCCCGGAGGGCAGGGCGCCCGGACGGGGAGGGAGCACGGCCGGGAACTCGCTCTCCCTCGTCGGGAGAGCGGGAGCGCTCCCTGTGCCGGCAGAGGCGAGCGGCGGGGACTAGAGCCGTACCGAGCGAACCGCTTTACGGCAGCCGCTTGGCCCTACACGGCGGGGCATCACGGGAAGCGTAGTCCCGCCTAGTTAAGCGGCTCTCAAACAGCTATTGGTTCCCGAAATGCTGGGCCCTGATTGGGCGCCGAGCAGCTCGCTCTCCGCCCTTCCCGCCTCGCTGGAGGGCGGTGGTTATTAGGTAGCTCCCGCACCACGCTCTCCCAGACCCTGCATTGAGGGCAAACCGTTGTCTTTGGGCTGTGAGAATGCCTGTTCTTGCGTCTGTTCCCTCTCACTTTTAGGGCCAGCGTCAGCCTTGAAGGTTTCAGATTTTATTTAATCTAGGAGGGAAATTTTTTTTTTTTTTTTTAACATTCATTCAAAAAGCATCATTGGTTGCCTGCCCCGTGCCAGGCACTGTGCGAGGTTTGGGAATGCACAGCTGAATGAAACAAAACTTTGCCTTCGAGGAGCTTATAGTCTATTGGGGAAACTGACCAGAAACAGATAACTATAAAATAAAGACACAAGTGCAAGGAAAGAGGTAAGCACAAGACCCCACTAACGCACACTTTGTCACTGTCTAGAGTATGGTGGTGGGAATCTACGGGATGGTTAGTCAAGGATTTCTTGAGGAAATGGCACCTGAACTGAATTAAGGGGTAGGCGGTAGCGAGGTGAAGTGCTATGGATGGAATTTTTTACCCCCAAATTTGTATGTAACCCCTATGTGACATTATTTAGATGTGGGGCCTTTGGGAGGTAGTTAGGTTTAGACGAGATCATGAGGATGGGGTTCTCATGATGGGATTAGTGTCTTTACAAGAAGAGACACAGGAGAGATTGCTGTCTCTCTCTGCCATATGAGGAAACAGCGAGAAGGCAGCTGTCTGTAAGCCAGGAAGAGAGTCCCCACCAGAACCCAGCCATGCTGGCATCTTGGTCTTAAACTCCCATTCTCCAGAACAGTGAGAAAATAAATGTCTGTTGTTTAAGCCACCCGGTCTATGGTATTTTGTTATGGTAGCCTGAGTTAACTAAAACAGGAGGGGGAGAAAGGTGTTGCAAAGAGGGCAGTTGGCCATAAGAAATAGCATAAGCAAAGCCAGACAGCTGAGCAAATGGTGTGAGCAGGGATGGTGTGAGACAGGAAATTATGGGAAATGGCACTGGAGAGATACTTGGGGGCTGGATGTGGAAGGCAGTGTATGCTCCCTTAGGGCATTTGAAATGAGTTTTAAAGCCAGTGAATGTTGTGGGCAAATTTGCAGTTTAGTTGGATCAGTCCTACTGCAGAGTAGAGGGTGAATTTAAGGAGGAAAGAAAGAAGACCAAACTCTATAAAAATATACTTGCTCTTTCTTCTCTGATCTTCTTTAAAAGACATTAAAGAAGACTTCACCTGCCTCCATTTTGACCTCAGTTTGTACTTCGTAACTGATTCAGTTCTTTCCAGCTCATGTCTTAACTCAGGCAAAGCATTCTGTGATGGGAACCAAGACTGTCCCCTTGAGCAGTAACCACTGCCCTGAGCCAGCAAGACCCCACATGACTGACCTCAAGACACCGATCAACCTGACCTTTCCTGCCCACCTGCATGTGCCCATCAACTTTTGTCCCACATTTGCCTTCTATAAACTTAGAAGTATTTTCAGCACTTTGGAGATAGTCTTTGAGACATTAATCTGCTGTCTTCTTGCCGCTGGCCTCACTGAAATAAATTCCTTTCTCTTTTCACCACCGCTCGTCTCTCTGTCCTTGGATTTTGTCTGCAGTGAGTGGCTGAACCTGGTCTGTTTGGGACCCCCGGAGCCAGAAAATGACAGAAAATAAGGAAGTGATTATTATAAAGGTGTTGGTAAAATTAACTATAAAAATGTTTGATGTACTTTTACATGTGTGCGTTTTAAGTCACAATTCAAAGTTTTAAATAAAAAAATCAAGCAAACATAGTTTATGTTTAAAATTTTTATTAATACATATTGCCATACTGATTGTTAAATATTTTGATTATCACCCCTGAGCAGGTCCCAAGTAACCATTTTCCATTATACTATACGACTCTGCTCTTCTAGCCAGGGTTGAATAGAGCTAAACTCAGCAGGGGTCAATGGGAATACCTTTTCTAGAAATGTGAGAGCATTCAATCCATGTGAGTAGAACTGTAATATTTGACCTCAGCTCAGGCTGCCATAACAACATAGAGAAATTTACTTTCCCAGAGTTCTGGAGACTGGAAGTCTCCAGTTGGTTGTTTCTGGTGAGATTTCTCTTCCTGGCTTGCAGGTGGTACCGCCTCGCTGTGTCCTTATATGACCTATTTTCTGTGTGTTCTCAGGGAGAGAGAGAGAGAATGAGCTCTCTGGTGTCTCTTCTTCTAAGGACGCTAATCCTATCAGCCTCCTGACCTCATTTAACCTTAATTACCTCTGTATAGGCCCTATTTCCAAATATAGTCACATTGGGGTTTAGGGCCTCAACAGAGGAGTTTGGGAGGGATACAATTCAGTTCATAGCTTTGTGTGCTTTAAGCAGCCTCCCTCTGGCCAGGTGCAGTCACTGGTAGGGGAGTCTGTGCTTCTGAGAAAGAAAAATGAGACAGCTGCACAGAAATGAGATCGAAGACTCCAGGTGGCCTTCTAACCTCCAGCTCCCAGCTCAGTCATAGCTATCCCTCTCTGTATGTACCCCAGAGAGCTGTATTTCTGCCCATGAGTTATCCCTGTCTCCTTATAACAAATTCTTGTTTGGGGGGTTAAACACTGGAGGTGAGGTGGTTGAGACAGCTAGGGTTGGTAACTGAAAGAGTTTCTCCATGAAAAGGTATAGAAAGATGGGACAGTATCTGGAGGGAAATGTGGGGTCAAGAGAGGAGGCTAAGATGTGAGACAAAGAGATCGTGTTTCTGTTGATGGGAAGGGAACTGATGGTTAAGCCCAGGTGGGGCAATGCAAGGACCCAAGACCTTGAGGAGGCAAGAGGAGCCAGGACCATAGTACCAAGGGCCCTTTCCAGAGGTAGGGATACTTCTATATGACACCACGAAGGAAGAAGGAGAAGATGGAGCAGATGTCAGTTTGTTTTGTTATAGATTTGCTATAGATTTTCCCATCTGATGACATCTCTGTGGGACAAGGTCATCTCATGAAAATGTAGGGGAGGGGGAAGAGAAGGCATGTATAGTCATTGCAGAGAACAGGAAATAGAGTTTATAGGGAAACAGAAGAGGTAGGATGATCAAATTGAATTAAAGGCCTGTTTGAGGTTTGTGATCACAAATTTAAGGTAAAAATAGCCTATCTGCAAAATTCTGTCTAGAAGCAGAAACTTAGGCAGATTTTTGAGTTGGAATATTGCCAGGTGGGGATGAATGGAGATAGAAAAGTACTTGCATTGGAGAGATTTATAATGACAGAAAGGTGGTTCTCAGTTCCAGCTAGGTGCACATGGAATTACCCACGAGGCTTCCAAAGAATCTGATTTAATGGGCTCAGGATGGGGTCTGGGCATTGGTAGGGTTTCAAAAGCTCCTCGGGTGATTCTAATGTGCAGTTGGTGCTGAGAATCACCATGCAGACCGTGACTCCTGAGGGGAGACAGGAGGGAGCTAATGAAAAGTGAGAACCCGGTGGGCTCAATGAATTTGAAATAAATTATAGCAGTGGGGTACTAGAGCACATAAGCTGGAAGGATGGGAAGTCATGATCAGTAAGTAAGTATTTGAAAGTGTTTGAAAACGGCTGAGTTTGTGGAGTGAAGGGGAAGGTCACTGTACATAAAGGGGTGAGAACTGAATGGATTATCCACGTGGAATGTCCACAACAAGGAGTAGGACCCACCAGCTGAACTCTTCTCTGGATGAGGGGAAATGGCAGTTGGAAGCAGGAGAGGGTGGTGGAGCTGGGCAGCACCAGCTAGACTGGAAGAGGGCTCTTTGCGGGACGAAGGGGCAGAACTGGCCAGCAGAAGCCATGCACCAGAGAACTTCAGACTTTATGTGCAACCTGCAGATGTGGAAACTGAGGCACATACATGGGAAGTGACTCGCCCAAGTTCACCAGCATGGCAGATTAACAGAAGCCTCCTGGAGACAGTCCTTGTGCGGGTCGAGATCAGGGCTCAGACCCACTCTGCCCCCCTTACCCCCTTGTCCCCAGAGGCAGACTCTGCACACGGGCTTGCTGCCAGTGTCACTTTATTTGGGAGATGCTGGTACCAGGGCATGGTGTGGGCGGGCCGGCACGGGAGGAGGGGGTCAGTGCCTCCGAGCCCGGTGATGACAGGAGGGGTGGAGGCAGCCTCGTGCAGGGGAGCCATCAGTGCTTTGAGAAGTCACCTCCTGGAGGACGAATGAGCGGGAGAGGCACTAGCAAGGAGGCAGTGGTCAGGCCCGGAAGGGATGGGCAGCGGCGCAAACTGGCAGGAGAGGGAGACCCGCCAGGAGGAAGGCCAGAGAAAGGCCCGCTCTAGCCCTGCGCTCCGTCCAGGCGGTACCAGTGTCCCTGCACCTGTTTCTCTCACCTGCCACAGTGTGGCCTCGGGTACCTAACCAGAACCAGGCACCTGGCAGGCGCTTCACACGTGCGCTCTCACTAAGCCCTCCCAACAAGCCCGTGCACATTGTCAGCCAGGCGGTGAGGCTGAGGTCACGGACGCTGAGCAAAGAAGGAAAGAGAAGGGCTGCTATGAAGCAGCTCTGACTGACTCCAAACCCCCAAGCGTGCGTATGATTGGAGAAGAACCCAACAAGAGAGCCAAGAAGCGGGATGGAGCGGGTCAGAAGGGGTGAGGAAGGCAGAATCCCGCGGGGGCCTGCGAGTTGGGAAACGGGCCGCCTTTCGGAAGGCCTGTCCCGGCCCCGCCCCCGCCCCGCCCCCGCCGGGCCCCGCCCCGCCCCCGGAGCCCCCCGCGCGCCCCGCCCGCCCCCGCCCCAGCGCAGCCCCGCCCAGACTCGCCCTGGCAGGCGCCGCACTGGCAGCTGCGGATGGCGGGCAGCACCACCGGCTCCCGCGGCCGCCGGGACAGCGCAGGGTCAGGATCCGCACGGGGCTCTCGGGGGCCCGGCTGTAGCTGCAGCAGCCTCGCTGGCTCTGCAGGTACGGCTCCTGCGGGGGGGCGTGGCTGAGCTGGGGCGGGCCAGCCCAAAACGCACCCGCCTTCCCTCCGGTGGCCTTTCCCATCCCGGGGAGGGCCAGATCCCAACACTCCTCGCCAAGCGGGGCAGCCAGCCGGGTCGGGGAGGAGCAGGGCTCTGGGCCCGAGGAGAGCAAGTGCAGGGCAGAGCCCAGTCCGTCTTCTGGGACATGCTCATAACGCCTTGCCAGGAATGTCTGGGACGAGGCTGTGTGTAAACGGCCTGTCCCACAGAGCTTCTCACTATAGGCTGGGCTGTGATTTCGGAGGCTAACTTAGCTCCTAATTTATGCCTTTCCTGTTCATGTCCTGGTAGGCCCACAGCAGGAGAAGACCCCCCTGGCAGGGGTGGAGGCCTGCAGGAGGCTCTGGAGCCCAAGCCCGGCGGAGGGTCACAGGGCCAAGCAGCAGGTGGAGGCCACCACCTTGGTAAAAACTCACCCGGGCTCTGATCTGTATCCCCTTGAGATTGACCGCGTCCCTCACGTCCCCGGGGCTTTGCCCAGGTCTAGGCTCGCAGTGGTAGGCCCTCAGGGTGCACGGCAGCCCCCTGGCTCACCTCAGGCATGACGTTGGTGCTGGATGGACAGTGCCCGCGGCAGTAGCTCACTTCTTACCTGGTCCAGGTAGCAGGGGCCCTTGGTGAGGTTGCGCAGCTCGGTGAGATGCCAGCAGGAGGCTGACTGCTCCTCTGTGGGGAGGAGCAGGTGAATGCAGGAGGTGGGGGCACGGCAGAGAGAGAAGGCCAACATGAGGGGACTCTGTGTGAAGGGGACAGCAGCTTGTGGACCCGAGGGGCACCTGCGGCTGTTGGGACAGGGGTGGCCAGGTGCCATGAGGCAGCGCTAGGGGTCTCCACTCCGCTAATCCTCATGGTAGGCAGCACTGGGGAAGGCAGGCCTCCTAGGGTGGGCATGGGGGCAGTTTGGGAGAAGGGCCCAGAGCAGGAAGAGGCACGGCAGGAAGTACCCCAGGTCCCCTGCATACCCAGGGTCTCTTGGCGGCAAGTGGGACAGCAGCTCCCTGGCTCCTGCACAGTCACCTCGCCCTGCAGAGGGAGTGGTCCCCAGCCCACTCAGGAGGATGGCCCAGGCGCCCCGGCACTGCCTGCTCGAGGCCCTAAGACCAGCCTCTGGGGAGGGACGCAGGAAGGACCCCAGGGAGCCGCTCTGAGAGGGCAGCAGGGCTGCTGGCGGTACCTGGGCACAGGTGAGGGGGGGGGCAGCGCTGGGTGAGACACTCCTCCCGCGGACGCAGCGGCAGCTGTCACAGTCCTCCTGCCATTCGGATCCGGGCTGGGGAGAATGCGGGACATCCTCCTCTCCACCTCGATCTCCATCTCTCTGCTGGTTAGGCTTTTCTACGCTCCTACCCCCTCCCTGAAACGAGCGGCCAGAGACTGAAGGCGGCAACAGGCGTTTCAGGAGGGAGGGGGGCTGACGGAGCCCAGAGACTGTCCCGGTGGGATGGCCCTGGCGCAGAGGGGAGGAGCCCGCGGAGGGGAGGGAGGCCGGGGTTGAGGAGGGCAGCGGTGTCTCACCAGGTGGGGATGCCCGCGGCGCCAGCACTCGCAGCCGTCCGCGGGCACGCAGAGGCCCGCCTGGCTGTGCAAGTGCCCGTGCCCGCACACACAGCCCGGGGCCCGCGCTGCACTGCAGCTGCCCTGGGTCTCCGTGGCGTTGGGCTCCCGGCACGTCCGCTCGCACAGCCCCAGCTCCCCAGGGAGCTGCTGCCACATTTCCCCGGAGGGGCACTCTGCCAGGGAAGACCCCCCACCACCACCACCACTCAGGTCAGCCCTGGGTCCAGCCTCGATTCTCCCCCGTCCCACGCCAGGCACCCCTAGGGTCCCTCCTCCCTCCCCAGTGCTGCCCACTCTGCACTTGTAGGCCTCCAGACACAGCCCTCTGCTCTTATCCACCTTCCCAAATACCAGTGGGACTTAACTCGCATCTTGCCTCTTCCAGGAAGCCTCCCCTGACTAGTCCTGTCCACCTCGACCTCTCCTCTTGTGGCACTGATTTCCCGTCCTGTGGGTGCAGCCTGCTTGTCAGTGGGCCAGAAACCGTCTCCTGTCTCTGTTCTGGTGGGTCAGTCTGCCCTCAGCAGCAGCACCAGGCTGGGGTGCTCGGGGCTCACCATACCTGTGTGTCTCTGAATCCACACAGAGCCCAGTGTGCCAGGGCGGGGCACAGGTAGCCCTTAGCAAAGGCCTGTTGACTTTGACCAGATGGGGGCAAAACAGCACAGGGCAGATACCACCTGCCTGGGGACTGCCAGACAAGGATCCTATTTGAGCTCACGCTCTCAACCTTTGCTTCCTCCTCTGCAGGGAAAGAACCCTCCACTTCCTGCATCGCTCACAGCCCTGCTCTGTGCACACACAGGAATGCCGTCAGCATCACTGTGGACAGAGCAGGGAAGGGGCTTCTTGAAAGAGATAGCACTGCCTTTGCCCTCAGCAGGGCCAACCACCCCCCCTGCCTTTGGAAGGACTGGCAGGGGCCTAGACAGCCATATCTCACCATGACAGTCGGCTAGGGAGCAGTTGAAGGCTCCATCTCGGCAGATACTGGGAAGACAGAAGCATGGGTTCCGATGCCTCCAAGGCCCTGCTCCCCACCGCCATTCTCAGCAGCTCTGTCCTCCACCCCCTCCCCACCCCAGCCCCCTGGCCCTCACCAGCGGGTACAGTTCCAGATGAGCACAGTCCCTGGGGGAAGCTCCCGGGCCTGCTCTTCAAGGAGCAAGGTAAGGCCCCATGGCAGAGAGATCTGGGTGCAGGGGCATGCAGCGGGGGGCACACACATGCCATGGTGCAGCAGCTGGGGCAGTGTGGGCTCCAGTTATACTCAGACCCACTTCTCCCCCTCCCCCCCACCTGCCTGCTCCCCCTATGGGAGTCGGGACACGGCACCTGGACGTACCTGCTCTCCAGGGCAGCCGCAGCCAAGCTGACAGGGTTCCTGCACACAGAGGGCACCAGGCTGCAGATGTGAGCAGAGGCGTGGGCATGCAGTGGCACAGATTCTGAGCACCTGGCCAGGTAGGCACTCGGGGCGGGGAGGGAGCGCACAGACAGTGAGGTGGAGCCCCAGGGAAGGGACTGTCTCCCGACCGGCCCCCTGCCCTGGCAAAGGCCAGCTGGGACGGGGGGCTGGAGCTCAGCGGCACTAGAGGGAAGGTCAGGTGCCCACCACCCCAGGTGCTCACCGGGGCAGGCCTGCAGGTTACATTCCTGCCACTGTTCTGTGTCCCGGGCCTGGCATGGTACCCCCACAGGACCCTCCTCACAGCTCCGATGCCGCTCCATAGTGCCCCCACCACAGGGAGCAGAGCAGCTGCTCCAGGCTGACCAAGGCCCAAGGACAGGGCACTCGTGGTGTGGGCACATCAGGGACCCATTGATACAGGTGCTGTGGACAGGGGTCAAGGGCACAAGTCAAGGGGAACGGAGCCTTTGTTTCCCAGTAATGCCCATAACCCTGACCTGCCCCAAGCCTCCCACCCAAAGCTCCCGAGCCCCCCGCTTGGCCACCAGTGGGCAGCCATACCAGTTTTTGCAGTCCAGCTGTGCTACCTCAGCTGGGGCCACCACCCATGAGGCATTGGGGCTGGGAAGGCCACAGCAGCAGGAGGAGATGGGCACGCAGTGTCCATCCTGTATCAGTTGGCCAGGGGGGCAGCGGCAGCCTGGGGGGTGGGGGTGGGGAGGACAAGCAAGATTTAGCGCTCTGGCAGGCACACACAGAGGATCCCCCTGGCCGCCAGTTGGAGTCCAAAGCCTCAGGCTGACCCTGGAGCACCCTCCCCCACCCCCACCCCCAGCCCCCACACTGTTTCCACCTCTGGAGCACAGGAAGGGGGCGCTCTAGCCCGCCCTGTGTGGGCCCCACCCCAGGAACCCTTGAGGCTGCCTGAGAGCGTCTTCACAGATACAGCCCATCTTGGCTAAGGCTCCCTCTATGCAGGAGCCCTACCCGGTTGCCAAAAGTGACCCAAGGATCCACTTTGCTGCCCTATCACCCATGATCCAGTACAGGAGCACGCCCCCGCCCACGGGTCTCATGCTCTCTGGAAGCAGGAGGCAGCAAAGCAAGCTGCCCTGCTCAGAGGCCCTAGGGATCCCAGGCTGGGCTGCAGGCACGGCCTGGCCACCTGGGCGCATGGCCCCTGCAGACACTGCACGTGGTCCCAGAGGTCGGCACAGCTTCTGGGGCATCGGTTGGCAGAGTCAAGGGTGGGCACGGTGTCCCGGGCTTCGCAGCTCTCCCCTGAGGACCAGAAGGTAGGAGTCTGTGCTGGGGGCCAACTCTTGGGCCCCCGGGGCCGCTCCCTCCCCTCCCCCGTGTGCCTCTAGGAGCAGAGGCAACATCCTGCTCAGGCGCTATCTTGTACGTTACAGTCCCTGGCCCCTCCCCCCAGATGCCGCCATGGGGGTTACCTGGGCAGGGCGCCACATTGCAGCTCTCAGTCTGAGCCCATGGCCCCCAGCAGCCTCCTCCAGGGGTGGGGCGCTGCCTCTCTCCAGCGTAGCTGGGAACCTCCACTGCAGGGCACCTGGCAGGGGCTCCAGGGCCCCCAAGGACTCCATGGCATAAGTCTGGGGAGATGAAATGGAAGTCAGTACCCAGGGCCCACCTCCCCTCTGCCTCTTGCTTCCACCCCAAGGCCTCCGGCTCTAGCCCTGCAGACACTCTGACATGCCCTGAGCCCCTCAGACCCCCTTCCTCCTCTTTTCAGCGGCTGCATGGATGCTCCCTGCTGCAGGCCCACCCAGCGTGAAATCCAGCAGGCCCTGGGGGCAAGCAGGAGGCTTAGCAGGCCTGCTAACCCCCTGGCTACTGAAATAATCAGCATGGCCCAGCCCTACCTGGCCAGGTCCCCCACCACTCTCATTTCAGGCCCCCTCCTGCCCTGTTGGTCTCTGCCCCTCCTCATTACCTTGGCAGGCCCTCGGTCCGGGCAGAGGCGCTGCTGGCTAAGTGGGGCGGTGCAGAGGTCTGGGTCTCCAGCCCACGGCCTCCCCGTCTCAGGGTCCAAACAGAGGCGATGGCGGTGCTGCTCCGAAGCCAGCCAGGGGGCCAAGGTCGGGGAGCGGCCAGCTGGGTGCTGAGACCAGCGCTCCTCTAGCACAGTCCTGGAGGCAGGGGCCAGCACGCCAGGGGGCAGGCAGGGCCCACAGGGTGACCACTCGGACCACCCACTCAGAGGAAGAAGACCTAGGAAGGGCGGCGAGTGGGCACCTTCCCAGGGGCCCTCCCCCAGACCACAGATCCCAGTGGACGGGGAGGGAGGAGCCCCAGTTATGACCAGGAAGGGCTGGAAATGGGAAAGGCTGTAGGAGGTGTCAGGGAGCCAGGGTAGGGTGACCCACTGTCCTGGTTTGTCTGGGACTATCAGAGTCCTAGCACTAAGAGTTCCAGATTCGGGGGCGCCTGGGTGGCTCAGTTGGTTAAGCGACTGCCTTCGGCTCAGGTCATGATCCTGGAGTCCCGGGATTGAGTCCTGCATCGGGCTCCCTGCTCAGCAGGGGGTCTGCTTCTCCCTCTGCCCTCTTCCCTCTCGTGCTCTCTGTCTCTCATTCTCTCTCTCTCAAATAAAAAGAAAAAAGAGTTCCAGATTCGGGAAACTGCCCCCCGCCCCCAGTCCTGGGCAAATGGGGACAGCTGGTCTCTCAAGTCCAGAGTTACCTTGACAGCCCTGGCTGGTGCACTGCAGTTCTCCATGCTGGCATTCACTGTGGGAGGGGGTGGGAGGGGTAGGTTTGCCAAGGCAAGACTCAGCTCAGAGCGGTGGCTGGGGGGCTGCTGTAGGGGCGACCTGAGCTCTGGGCTCATTTGGAGCAGGATGAGGTTGGAGTTGGGCCTGGGGCCTGGGGGGTTTCCCTGTGGGGTCTCCTCCCCGCCCCCCACCCCCTGACCCCAGCCCTCTGATGCTGCCTCCCGGCCCCCATCATGCACCACTCTTTGCAGACCAGGTGCAGGCGTTCCCCGGGGGCCAGGGTCACTGTGGCTCCTTCTCCTGTGAGGTGCAGGGAGCTACACTGCTCTGGGGGAATGCAGCCCCCCGCCTGCTCCAGCAGCCCCTGAGCAGGAGGGGACACGGGGACAGGGCTGTGTGGCAGCCATCTCTGTACCCTGGTGCCATACCGTGTCTGCTCACGGCGGGTGAGCCAGTGGTGGGCACGTGGGCACGAGGCAGAATGTGAGGGGCTCTTGAGGGGCATCGTGCAGAGGGGTGTCACCCAGGCATCACGGAGGGGAGGCAGCGCAGGAGTGTGGGCAGAGCCCCCCTTCTCCTGGGGCACCTCCCCCGGCCCCACCCCTCACCTCTGGACAGTAGCAGCCAGGCTGGCAGGGCGGCAGGTCCTAGCAGAGCCGATGGCTCAGGTGTGTGGTGCAGAGCCCGGCACAGGGCGGGGCACAGGCCCGGAACTCAAAGGGAGGTGTGCAGCTGTCTTCTGGGAGGGGAACAGAGGCTGGTGGGGGGCCGCCCAGAGACACCCTCCACCCCAAGCGCAGAGCACACAGGACACGATCCCCTCAAGGCCCCTTGGGGTCGCCCTGTAAGAGTGCAAACCTGCTCCCAGGCTGCCCTAAAGACTGGCTAGTGTCGCCCCATCGAGCGCCCACTCGGCCCCCAAGGGTGCCTCTAGGAAGGGTCATGATGGTTGGGCCGCGGAGAGCCAGGTAGCTGCGTGGAGGATGGGGCCTTCGGGGAGCTAGGGGCCTGGCAGGTGCTCCCGGGGTTGGCGGATGGGGAACAGGAGGGTGGCTACCACTGGAGGAGGGCAAGACCTTCTGTGCCCGGGGGGCTGCTACAAGTGGACAAAGCCTTTAGCTCCAAAGCGGGGAGATCACAGCGGAGCCGGGAGGGGAGAGGAGCAGAGCCGTGGGGATGCGGGAGTAGCTGAGGACGAGGCAGGGGTGTAACCGGGCTGCTGAGGGCAGGGCTCAGTGCAGGCAAGGGCACCAGCTCCAAGGGCCCGGGGGCATGGAGGCCGGCTCGGGGAGGAGCTGGGAGGCCCTGCCGGGGCTCAGCCGCCTGGCTTCTTGCTCCCGGGGCCTCACCCGAGCAGTTGCTGATGGGGCAGGGCCGGAAGTGGCCGTCCAGGCGCGGGCAGGGAGAGCCCCCCGCGCCGCTCCCGCTGTGGGTGCTGGTCCCTGGTGCCGGTAGCGCTGCTGGACCAGCACCTGGCAGGAGCATCGCGTCCAGCTGCTCCAGCTGCTCCAGCTGCTCCACAGGCACTCCTCTAGGGACCAAGGGGGGGGGTGCCAGCCAGGCTCCTCCAGCCAGGCTCCTCCCTCCCCTCCCCTCCACTCTTCCCCAAGAACACCCTGCACAGGGAACACCCTGCACAGCGAAAGGGCAAAAGGGAGCCAAGAATTTAGACAAGTCCTAATTCGCTGTGTTCTCTGTCACCCAGGGGCAAAGGGCGCATCCCAAAGAGCTCAAAAGAAAGAGATGGTAAGAAGAGGAAAGAAACTAGACACAATATCAGGGAGATAGATACACATTTGAGGGGACAAATCTGGGGTTTGGGAAACCATGTTGCTCGCTGAGTTTTTCTGAGGCAGGAAATCAGGGGAGGGGGCTTCGCTGCCCCATGCACACTCACCTAGGCAGGGCCCTGGGTAGCAGGCCTGGGTGTCCAGGTGGAGGAAGGTGCCATTGCAGGTGGGGTCGACTTCGGCCAGTGGGCACGGGCAGGACCCAGAGCGGGAGGCCAGGCCTGGGCCACAGCTGCTGGAACAGGGCCCCCACGGGCCCCAGGAGCAGGCCTCCAGCAGCCCCAGGCAAGGCTGCCATCCACAGCGCTGGGTCTGGGTGCCAGGGCCCAGGCAGGGGGCCCCGCTGCAGTCAGCGGCCGAGGCCATGCAGACCCGGGTGCGAACCTGGCTTCCACCTCCACAGGAGACAGGGCATTCAGACCAGGGGGACCAGAGCGTCCAGGCCCCGGGTACTGTGGGAGGGCACAGGCAAGGTTAGAGAAGCCGGGGCGGGGGGGGAGCAAAGGCCCCGAGGGCTGGTCAGGACCTTCATGGCACAGGGGCTGGCAGCGGTGAATAGGGCTAGGAGGGAAATGCGAGACCGAGCAAGCAAGCCAGCCTGAGGCTAGGAGGGTGGGGGAAGGTGGGATTGGGATGAAAGCCCAGACCTGCACACTCGATGTCTTCACATATGATGCCCTCCGGGGTACGGGAGCTGAGGGGAGGAGCCCGGACTCAGGGACGCTGCCCTCCGGCAGGACAGTGCCACCCCGTCCCTGCCCCTGCCCCAGGCTTACCACCACTGACACTTGCCCTGCAGCCAACTGTCCCCCAGGGGGTGGAGGCGAGCACCGTGCAGGCACAGAGGTGGGCACGGGGGCTGAGGGCAGGGCTGGCTCTGGGACTGCTCCTCCCGACACTCTGGGGCCCACGAGCCCGATGTGGAGGACCTGGGTGGGGCCCGGCACAGAGAAGGTGAGAGATAGGCCAGGGCCCTTCATCACTCCTCGGCCTCCTGGTGAGACACCTGACGGGCAAACCTGGGGCGGCTAAAGAAAGCACGGATGACCGGGCCAAGAGCTGGGCCAGGGCACAGAAGGTATGCCACGGGGGGGCAGGATACAGGAGCTCTGGATCAGAGAGGAAGACCGAGTCCAGGCAGTGGGAGATTGGCGTTGGGGGAGGTGACGCTAGCCTGGCCCAGCCCCATACCGGAAGCGGCTCTGCTGCCCCTCGGGCCCACACGAGCGGCTGCAGGGACTCCAGGCTGACCAGCGGCTCCAGGCGCAGCGGGCAGGCGGTGGGCAGGGCTGAGCCGTGCAGGAGAGGCGCCCAGCCTGGCAGGTGCAGGTGCTGCAGGCCTCCTGGTGCTGGCTGCCCGGGGCCCAGCTCTGGCCCTGGGCATCTGTACACTCGCAGTGCCAGTCGGCACGCAGCCGCCGTCCTGCTCCAGGAAGCCTGCGGGGGAGGCAGCCCTCCAGAGCTGGGCCGGCACCGGGGCCCACCGGCCTTCCCACTGAGCCGCTCTGACACGCTGCGGGCCCGGGGCCGCCCCTACCCTCCGAGCAGCGGCAACCCGGCTGGCAGGCCTGGCCGTCCTGACACACGATCCCCTCCTGGAGGTCTGAGCAGCGGTGGGGACAACGGTTGGCACAGCTGACCATCTGCATGCCTGCTGGGCAGCCCTCCTCTGAGCAGACGGGGAGGACCTGAGTCAAGAGGGCTCTGAGCACAGGGGCTCAGAAACCCTCCGCCTGCCTGCCCGGGAACTGCTCTTACCTCCATGAAGCTATACTCCCATCCCTCTCCCCACATTGGTGCCCATGAAAACATAGGGCCTTGGGGAGACCCCTGGGATTGGGACGTTCTGCATTACAGGGAGTCAGTCCCTCTTACCTACCTGGGGGTTCTCAGCACCTAGCCTGGCACCCACAAAATGTCACTGAACTGGACTGAATTTGTGCATCTAAGAACATGCTCACCTACACAGCTCCTTTGTGTTCACGTGGAGGGCTATGAGGGTGGAAAGCCCTAGTGTAACCAAGGTCCATGGGGTCAGGGAGCTCAGAAGGACCAGTAAGGACCAATAAGGAGCCGAAGCTGGGAGAGGCGTGTCTGGAAGTGGCCGCCCACACCCCAGGAGCAGGTGCAGTCCTGATTGTAACCCTCAAGTCCTCCGGAAATCTTGACCGGGCTGGGTGGTCTTTCAGGAGCTGGAGGGTGGGCAAAACTTCAAGAACGAGTTCTGGTGCAGGGTGGGGGCAGGCAGGGGCAAGCATTCTGGCAGCTCAGCCCTGGCCACAGCGAGTCCCTACGCGCAGTACCCAGATCCCGCCATCTGACCCTGCGGGCCTCAGTTTTCTCTGCTGGCTACTGAGTGTCTCCGTCACAAGGTGTCATGGGGGTTAAATTAGGGGTGGGATGGGGAGAGCTGTGCAGAGGGCAAAGGCCACCAGCGATACGATGTCCCCACCATCATACCACAGGGCAAGGGATTGCAGAGCCGAGCATGGTGCCTCTCCCCAACACAGGGGGCACCCCTGTTCTTGGGTGGAGGGCTTGAGCAGCTGTGACTCCTCAGGGATCAGCCCCCCCCCCCCAGCTCTGGTCACACCAGGACCAGGGACTCCAGCGTGACCAGCCTCCAGGCACTGCGTGGCAGAGAGAAGGGCCACATGAGGGATGACCTAGCTCAGGCAGAGCACCCCCCTACCACCGTGCACCAGGAGCCTGGGGCAGGGTCCTGCGCTAAGATGGATGCGCCACAGAGGCCCTGGGACCAGGGAAGGGCCTGCGTGGTCCTCAGCAGCCCTCCTCACCTGGGCAAGCCCGCAGGTTGCAGAAGCGGTTCTCCTGGTAAGCGGTAAGGATGTCGGGGCACCAGTGCCCACTGGGCCCTGGGGGATGGTAGGCCTGCAGACGGCACTGCTGGCCCACCCCGCAGCTTCGGGAACAAGGTTCCCATGGGGCCCAGGCGGTCCAGGAACAGTTCCCAGCCACACAGCCAGGGCTGGGGCACAGGGGCAGCTCTGCGGGCCGGGACAGGATGGAACGAAGCGAGCTGGAGCCGGCCCTGACTCCCCCGCCTCAGCCCAAGTGCAGAACTCCTCATCCGCCGGGCCGGCCAGGTCCTTATCCAGACCTCTGGGGTCCTGTTTCGGATCTGATACCGGCTGTTGCGAGGCTTTGGCCACGAGGTCTCAGGGGGCCGTGCGTGGTCCCAGACTCACCGGGATGCTCAGGGATTTGGATGGGAATTTGGGTGAGTGTTCAGTACACACACAAGTGAGGGTTTGCCGGTGTGGGCAGGGCCTGGAGGCCCCAACAGCTGCCCAGCCTGGCACAGAGCACCCTGGGTCCAGAGTCACACACGGATTCATGATTCCGTATCAGGCTGAGAACTCGGTATTTGCTTCCAGGGTATTAGATGTCGGGGTTGGGAGGTTGGACATGGGTTGGGGGTCAGAATGTGCTGCTGGAGGGAGGATGCTGGGCTTAGAGGGGATGGCCATGGTTCAGACATGGGTCAGGGTCAGAGGTCAAGACTGGAAGGCACACCTGTGCAGGAGGGCAAGTTGGAAGGGCGCTCCTGTGACGCGGCCCCCCCGGTGCAGTTTGCCAGGCAGAGGCGAGTACCACTGCGCCAAGCAGGGTGAGTGGGGTCTGTGCAGGTGTGAGAGCATGGGGACCATGGGGACCATGGGCCCCAGCCGCCTGCGGGGATAGAAGGGAGAGGCATCGCCTGTTGAGTCCACCTTGGGCTCCTGGCCTCCCAAGAAGCAGGGCGGGGAGGGAGGAGGCTCTGGCCTCGTTTTCCCAAAGGGAGGCCACCTGGGACACAGTCTGGGGCTGGGACCCACGGAGTCTGGGCTACCTGGAAGGCTTGTCACGGGCTCCACTGTGGACCCTCCAGCCCCTGCGCCAAAGAAAAGCCCTGCTCAGGATGTTTCTGAGTCTGCAGTGCCCCAGGACCAACCTGAGGCTGGTGGCCCAGTTCTAAACCCACCACTATCTGATTCAGCCCTTTCCTCCTGCTGGGTCTCCCATGGGCCCTCCAGGCCCCAAGCGCAGCCAGACTCGCCCTTCCCGCTTCCCTCACCTGGGCAGTCTGGGCTGGGGCAGTCCTTGAGGTCCTGGCGGGGCCCACCGCAGCCCCAGCTGCCTGGAGCTGGGGAGGGCCGCACACACGGGCGGCTGCGGGTTTGGGTGCCCAGCCCACCACAAGACCGGGAGCATGGGCCGCATGGCCCCCAGGGACTGAAGCCATCGGCAGCCTTGGAGCGGTCCCCCACCGAGCAAGACAGCTGCCCACGCACACAGGAGCTGGGGAAAGGGCATGGGGGTGAGGGGCGGGCAGGACAGACCCTGAGAGAAAGGGGGGTGGGCAAGGGTATCCACCCCGAAGAGTGAAGAGACAGAGCCAAGGGTAGTCAGGCCGGGCAAGGGCAGGGCAGCCGGTGTCTCCCCCTCCCTTGGCTCTAAATCTCCCCCACTCTCGCCATCCCCTCACCAGTGCCTGCAGCCTGTACGAAGGCTCTGGCCTGAGCCCAACTCATCCCCAGGCCCAAGGGGCTGACCGCCCTCTCCCAGAATGGGGGGGCGAGCCGCAGAGTCAGCGCCGGCAGCTCCCAGCTCCCAGAGCAGCGAGGCGGTGAGCACGCAGGGGCACTCCTGGCGGGGCGGGAGCAGGGGGGAAGGTGCAATCGCCTAGGCCCGGTGCCCGCTCTCTGTACTGTGGCCCAGGGAGGCGGGGAGGAAGGCATGTGAGGCTGGCGGGGGGTGCTCTGGGCCCCAGAAGAGCATTCCCTGGAGCAAGTGGGACAGTTTCCCTGAGTCAGGGCTGTGAACGGGCGAGACTAGTGGCCTATGAACTTGACCCGAAATGGCCAGTGGCTTTTCTGCATACAGCACTTAGCTAGGACCCAGGCAGGGTCAGCAGAGGCCCTTCCAGGGCGGGACTTGGAGGGAACACGGAGGCAGAAAGAGCCTCAGCCAGGAATCAGACACCTGGTCCCTAGTTTTACCGGTAACTGTCTGCATGACTTGGTGTGTCCCCTTCCTTCCTTGCAGCTCACGCAGTGTCATCAGCTCTACGTCAAGCAGGTGGCTGCTCAGGCCCTTCTGGGCATGGCATTCTGGAGCTCTGGCTGGGCACAGCCACCGGACACCGGCTTCGAGCTTAGGATTAAAGCTGGGGACAGAAATCCCCACGCACCTGGAGAGCTCCGCAGAGCACAGTTGGCACCTGCCTGTTGTCTGGACCCCAGAGCGGGAGACAAGGAGTCTGGGGCAAAGTAAAGGTGAGGGTACGCTTCCCCACCGGGGTGCGGCAGGGAAAGGGGGCAGTGAGGACCCATGATTCCCGGCCGTGGCCTGAATGGCATGGGGAGCACTGGGCCTGGCAGGAAAGTGCTCTGGGGACAGGGGGGCACCTGGCCCCACGCCAGTCACGGGCGGCTCCATGCGGGAGCCCCCCATGGGAGCTGGCAGCCAGGGAGCCGCTGCTGACGAGCAGGAGCCCAGGCAAGGCCCCTGTTCCAGGGAACCGGCGACATCACCCCAGCTGCCCGCTCGGGGAGCTCCACCTCTGCCTGACTGCCCTGGGCAGCCAAGGCCTCAGACAGCCTGGCAGGCCGAACGCTTGCCTGGGGTCACGTGAGGAAGCGGGGCGCTGTCCAGAGGACAGGGTCTGCAGGGCTGAGCAGCTGCGGGCAAGAGGGAGGAAAGGCAGGGGAGGGGAGGGAGGGCTTGGGCTCCTGGCTGAGAGGGTTCTGACCTGGACACAGGACAAGCGGTGCTGGAAGGTGCCCACGGGGCAGTGGCAGCCCTCCCTGCAGCTAGTGGAGAAGCAGCCCACCTGCCGAGTGACGTGGGCGCAGGAGAAGGGGCACCCCTCGCCGGGCGGGCACTCCTGGTACAGACGTCCAGCCGGGCAGCCTGCCTCTGGGGCAACACTTACATCAGGGCCCGGCTCTGGCCTGCGCTGCCCGCGGTGGCTCCTTCGACGCCCACCCTGCCACCTGCTTACTCGCCCCTGCGCCCGCCCTCCCATGGCTCCCCAGCTGTTCCCACGATATCCTCCCTGCGTTGTGCCCCTCAGGGCCAATGTCACACCCTCCCACAGGCTCCCCTCCCTGAATCTGGCTACTTCCTCCTCTGCTTGCCCACCGCTGGCCCTGGGGGGAGGGCAGCCCACGGGGATGGATGGAAGAGGGCAAAGGCACCTCCCCCTGCTTCCCTGGGCTCACCAGTTGTCACAGGGCCCAGTCACCACCTCTCTGGGTTCCAGGCTCTCCCAGGAGCTGAGCCCAGGCCCTGCTGACCGGCTCTGGTTCTCAGGAATCCCTAAAGTCATGAGTGGGGGTGGGACTCCAGATAGCTCAGTGTGCCCCCCACCCTGAATCCCTCCTCCTACCCCACTGCCTTCTACTTCCCTCCCTCTCAGCCTTCACCCCATGGCGCCCCAGATCGTGGGCCTGGGAGATGGAAGCCCCAACCTGGGGCAGGCCCGGGATGCCGTGGGATCCGCGGGAGACGATGCCTGGAGCATCGGAGAGGACAGGTTGCCCGTTTCCATCCTGCCACTCCAGGCTGGATCCCGCCAGCAGATGGGCAGAGGCCAGGTGGGCGGGCATTGCAGTGCTCGCGGGTCCTTGGGAGAGGGCAAAGGGAAGCACTGACCCATGGCTCCAGGCTGGTAGTGACAGTGGCAGCGGGCGGGAGGCACACAAAGGCCATCCTGGGACAGCTAGCCGGGGGGGCACCCACAGCTGGGCTGGCAGCCCGTCGGTCCTGGCTGGCACACACTCCCCGGAGATAGGTCCTGGCAGGAGCGGGGACAGGGCCACCCACAGGGGAGAAGACCCTGGCATCCATCCCCACAGGCTGTGGTGGGACGGAAGCAGAGAGGGTGAATGCTGAGCAGGGGCCCAGCCTGAAGGATCCCGGCATGCAGGTGACAAGCCCTCCTGCCACGCCCTCCACCTGCTTTGCCTTCCACTTTGCCCCAGGATTACAGGGTGAGTGATCTAAGGGCTGCCTCATGAAGGAAGTGACATGCATATGTATATTGGGGTCAAAAGTCAGAAGCCGTGTCTCCCTAGCCTTCTAAGGGACCCTCCCAGACCTCTGCAGAAGCCCTCACCTGTGCGTTGTGTGGAATTGTCTTGGCAGGGGCGACTCTGCCTGTAGCCCCCAGGGCAGGGCCTGCCTCCTTCGGGGGTGGGGGGCCAGATACACTCCCGGCTCCGATGGGACTGCCCCAGGCACAGGTCACAGGGAGACCACAGTCCCCACGGGCTCCAGGCTCCATCCACTGTGCAGGAAGACAGAATCACCCGCCCTAGGAGGCCTGGGAGGTGCCCAGCCTATTGAGATTTGAGCAGACTAGTGGGGGCATCTCACCTGGGCAGTCGGGGGGGGCTGGGGCAGGTCTCCTTCTGATGCTGGGCCCCTGCCTCCCCTGCTTTACCAGGGCACGGGGTCCCCCCGTGCTGAGGAGCGGGGCAGGTGCAGGCCCTGGAGTGGGTCCTCGTCTGACCCCTGCAAGGCTGGGAGCACGCTGTCCACTCCGACCACGGACACCAGCCACCCGGCACTGCAAGGGACGATAGAAGGGCACTGGGGCGCAGGCGTCCCTTCCCCAGTCCCAGTCCTCTCGGTGATCTTGGCCACTTTTCCTTGCCTCCCTCCGAGCTGGGACACACATACCTAGGCAAGGCAGGTCTGTGCAGTTCAGCCTCCCCTCCAAGCAGGTGCTGGGCAGGGCATGCAGGCACAGGAAGGAGAGTGGCAGCTCAGCCCTCCCCTGCCCTCCACGCGCACCCCTCCTAAGCTGCCTCTTCCCTTCCCCTTTACCCCAATGCCCGTTTCCCTTCAGGGTCTCAGATGCCCCCTGGCCATTCTCCAGAGCACCCAGACGCTGCTCTCTGTCCTATTCAGGGACCCCTCAGGTGTCCTGTCGGCTCTCTGCTTGTCGCTGGCTGGTGTGTCCTACTGGGGAAGGACCAGAGGTAGTCTGCTGCTGACCGGGGCCAGACAGTGAGGAGGAACACGGTGCCTGTTACCCCTCCTTCCCCTCCAAACACACACCCAGCCTGCCATGTCTCCCAGAGGGCAGACACACAGAGCTGGCTGCCTCAGTTTCCCCACCGATCAGACAGGGGTGAGCATGCCTACCCGCATCTCCTTGGGGATCGTGGGAGTCTAACCTGCATCCGCTAAGACCCAGGAGAGCCCAGGTGCAGCCCACCCTCACCCAGGCCCCTGCAGCCGCCCGCACGCCCGCCTCACCAGTAGTTGCAGCCTCGGGCCTGGGCAGCCGAGCCCCGGCCGGTGCCGCTCCCCGCTCAGCAGGTCCAGGCAGCCACAGTGGCCGGGCGGCACGCAGAAGGCCCCGTCGGCGCTCAGCACCTGGCCAGGAGGGCAGTAGCAGCCGGGCTGGCAGCGCCACACGCAGTGCTGGGGGGGGCAGCAAGGGAGGGCTCGGGTCAGCAGAAGACAGGGCCGAGGGGGCAGCGAGGGGTGCTCTGGGGAGTCGCGCAGAGCCACGGGGAAACATGAAGGGAAGGAGGAGGCGGAGGGGTGCAGAGGCGGGAGGCGCTGAGCTCCCGTTCATAGTCATTATGTCCAAACACCGTTTCTGTCTCGTCTCTTCCCCAGGGCAGGAGTGGGGAGGGGGGACGAGAGCCTGAGAAGGGCTGCCCTGGGGGGGTGAGGGGAGTGTCCTCCAAATGTGAACCCTGTGGAGGGTTCCATGGGGGACCTGGTCAGTGCCTGGGAACCAAGGCATCTCCCAGACCTCCCCACAACGTAGGGAGCAGGGCAACAGAAAGCTGGCTTGGGGGATGGGGTCATTTGGGAAGGAGCTGGGGTCCCCCGGGGAAGCCAGGAGCCAGGCACCGGCCCTTCCTCCCTCCTGCTCACCCTTACAGGGCGGCACCTCCCTGACCCCTCTTAGACGCCTGCGCTTGGGCATCCCTGATTCGGGTCAGCCTCCCCGCCACACCGCAAGCTCCGTGGTCGGGGACCCTGTGTGCACATGCCTCTGTCCCTCTCCATGGTGCTGGCCAGGCGTTCGGCGATCTCAGCCACCAGCACACTGACGTGTACATGCGTGCACGCGTACCCTCAGACTCAGGGTCCACGCACCGAAATGCTCGTGGTGTTTAAGATGATCTAATGGGATAATTCCCCCTTCCTAGGTGTTTATGTTCCGTTTGTAATACAATCTTTAAATTCAGAAAGGCCTGATGTAATGAACGCAAGGTTGCTGGGTGAGGCTCACTCCAGAGACTCTCCCTGGAACAGAGGAGCCAGCCTGGTGGGCACTAACGCCATCCCTCCCCACCAGTGCAAGGCTGCCCAGGCCCGAAGAGGTCATGACCCAAAGCCGTACCCTGCCCTCCTGTAAAGTGACCTTCGGGGCCAGAGGCAGGTGGGCATTCGTTCTGAGGAAGCCAGACTCACCATGAGGTCGTCACAGGAGCGAGGACAGGCAGGGCCACACGGGCTGTACTCGGCCCCCTCAATGGCGGTGCAGTCGGTCACTGGGGAAGGGGGTGGCAGGGGCTGAGAGTTATGTGGGTGGCCCACTCCGGCCTGTCTCTCCAGAGTGCTCCTTGCCCCCTGTCCCCCGTTCCTGCCGGTACCTGGGCATGGCAGAGCCTGGCAGGCCTCTCCCTGGGCCCGAGGCCCCTCGTGTAATCCCCCAGGCCCTGGGGTGGGGGCTGGTCGCAGGCTCGCATCCAGCTTTGCAGGCCTCCCCCACAGCTCCGGCTACAGCTGGACCAGGGCCCCCAAGGCCCCCAGCCCCCAGCTCCTGGGATGACAGCCAAGGAAGCAGTTGTCGGGGGAGGGGTGTTGGCCAGGGCTGGGGGCCAGCCGGTGCGAGGCAGCGCGTATCCCCAGAGCATGGAGGGCATGATCCTGGGCACCAGGGGACTCACGGTCACACCCTGGCAGGAGGCAGGGCTCCTCCTCAGCGTCGGGGCCTGGGCAAGGAGGAGTAGGCAAGGTTGGTGGGGATGGCAGTGCCAGGACAGACGGGTCCGCGGTGGGGGGCCCAGAGCAGAAGCGGCGCCGGTGGCGACGGCCAGGGCCACAGGAGGCTGAGCACTCGCTCCATGGGGTCCAGGGTGACCATATGGGCTGACCTGGGGTACACAGGAGGGAAAAGCAGAGCGGGGATGGAGTGAGCGCAGGCTGGAGGCACTGGCCTGGGTAGAGCGCCCCTCCTCCCTTCCCCCTACTCCGCCCAAGCTTTCCTCTCCTGGTAGGGAGCCCGCAGGGGGCACCGTCAGGGCGTGGGGGCCCCCTTCTCACCCTCCTCACAAAGCCAGGAGGTGCAGTGGGTGATAAGCCCAGAAACACAGGAGCTGGAAGAAAACAGCAGAAGGTCAGGGTGCTGTTGTAGGCTGAAGCGTGTTCCCACAAATCCCTCCGTTGAAGCCCGAACACCCAGGATTTAGAATGTGACCTTGGAGACAAGGTCTTTACAGAGGTGATCGAGTTACAGTGACGGCGCTAGGGTGGCCCTGGTCCAACATGACTGGTGTCCTTCTACAAAGGGGACATCTGGATTCAGCACAGACATGCACAGAGGGGGACGAAGAGAAGAGGGGGCCACAGGGAGAAGGCGGCCCCGTGAAGGCGGCGTGCAGGGTTGCAGCCACAAGCCAGGAACACCAAGGATTGCCAGCAACCACAGAAGAGAAGGGCCTGGAGCAGATTCTGCCCCACAGCCCTCAGCAGGAACCACCCCGCTGACACTCTGATCTTGGATTTCTAGCCTCCTGAAGTGTGAGAGGACATGCCCTGGGTCTGCTGTGGCACCCAACGGACGAAGACGGGTGGGAAGAGAAAGGATGGGCAGGAAGGGCGTGGGCAAGGGCCTGAGGGAGCTGGACAGCTGTGCCTGAGGGGCAAGGGGCAGCTCCACGGCCCCCTGGAGGCCAGCATCCCCTGGCGCTGAGGGGGGACAGCGAGGTGCTCATAGATCATGGCCAAGGGGGGGTAGGGGTCCTCACCAGTTCTCACAGAGACGAAGCACCACACTGTCCGGGGGATAAAGGCGTCCCCCATGAGCACAGGGGCAGTCCTGGAAGGGCACACACACGTTGTTCTGGAACCAAAAACCCTCTGTCATCTTCTGGATTCCAGGTGGGTCTGGCCCGGGCTACTCCCCACAGTCAGAACCCAGCACCCCTTTCCAGGCTCCCACCCTCCAACCCCACCCATGCTCCTTCCACAAACAGCCCTTCTGCTCCCACTGCCACCACCAGGGAAATGCACACCAGCGGTTACAGGAGCAAAAGACCATCTCCAATTGCAGGACGTGAGACTGAACGGTCAAATGTCCACGGGATCAGCTAACAAAACATGCAACGTGCAATTCACAGAGCAATGATGTTTGAAACAAAATTCCACATTTCATCAAGAACATTTGAACTGATGAAATTATACACACAGGGAGTTTGGACAAAAGTTGCTAGTGTCTTAAATTTAAAAGAACTGCCATCCAGCAGCACATGATTCAAAGCCAAGTGTACTGAGGTGTGGGCCAGGCCCTGGGAGGCATGTCAGCCTTTTACAGACTCCAATGACTAGGCACATTATTACCCCAATTTGACGAATGAAGAAACTGAGGCACAAGACTACACAGCCCAACGTCACTGAGCTCCTAGAAGAAGAGTCTGATTTGAACTCAGACCCCATGGGAGTCTGGCCCCTTGCCCACACCCTAGGCTTGAGTGGCACTTTTGTAAGCCCTCCCCACCACCCACAAGCTTCTGTCCAGATTCCATGGCCCCCACCTCATTTCCCAGCCTGGGTCTCACTGCCTTCCAACAGCAACACCGCCTCCAGCTCTCAACACCCTGCAATCTCCGACAGTCCGATCAGGATCACCTCCTCCGGGAAGCCCGCTGCCCCTGACCCAGTCCCTGCCAGACTGCATCCCAAGCTCCACAATATGCAAAGCTCACTTCCCGTGTAAGGATGGTTCTATCTTCATTCTAGGTGCTCTGGGTCTGGTCTCCCCAGACTAGAGGCTCCTCGAGGGCAGAGTCTACTTTTTCCCCATGGCACAGCCCCCCTAAGACTGAGCAGCCAAGGTGCTCAATAAATAACTAATGATAACGTAAGAGAAGAGAGCGCTCAAGCAGGCATGGATCATAAAGATCCTCTAGACTGATCACCATTTCACAAATGGGAAAGGAGAGGCTCATGGAAGCACGGATATGACTCATGCAGGGTCACCTGCTGACTGTTGGCAGGGCTGAGCCGTGATCCCTGAGTTCAGTGCTTTTTCCTCAACTCTGAAACCCCATGCCCTTGGTTCCGCCCCTCCCAAGGAGGTCAGGTCAGGGAAGACACGCACCAGCAGGAGCATCCCAGAAGGGCAGTAACAGCCGGGGTGGCAGGTCTGGTCTGTCCCTTGCGGGTCACTGAGCTCCACACAGGAGGCAGGGCCCTGGGCGCAGTCCAGCCACCGCTTGCCCTTGGGACACACGCCAGGCACGGGCCCTGGGGACACAGAAATTGACAGCCCAGCCCAGGCCCATTCAACTCTGCCCTGGGCTCCCAACCCAGGAGCGGCCTCAGCTCTAGTGTGGCCGGGGGGGCGGTCATCACGGCAGCTCAGGGACAGGGGCCCCTGCGGTGACAGGGAGGGGTTGACAAGGCTCTGGGCTGGGCGAGATGATTATTGAGGGTCGGGGCGCAGCGGAGAGGTGGGCACAGCCCTCACCTGCGCAGGGCTGCCGCCCGTAGGCCGAGAACTCCATAGGGTCATTGAGGCTACCGCCTTGGATGCGGTTCTGGTAGCCGCCGCCGCAGGGCACGGAGCACAGGGACCAGGGGCCCCACTCCCCACCAGGACCTGGGGTGGCAGCCAGGTCACTGTGGGCCCTACCTCCCACACCCCCCACACCCCCGTCCTCCACTCAGACACCCTAGGGCACCACCCCCCTTCTCACACCTGCAACACTGCAGGAGGCCTCACTCCTCGGCCTGAGCGGGGCTGGCCTCCATGGAGGACCCCTCTTGGGAATGACTCTCGGGGCTCTCTGAGGACACTTCCTGGCATCTTTTAGGGTAGGCCCTTGCACCTCTCTTGGGGTCTGGGGGGAGTGACTGGGGTGTTCCTGGCTCCTCTCTGGAGGATTCTGAGGGCCTCGGTCCCAGCTCTCACCCCGACAGGACCGCAGGCTGCAGAACTCGGCCTCCATGCTGGGGCCCTGGCACAGAGCACCCCCAAAGGCAGCTGGAGGCGCAGTGCCTGCCCAGAAGCGCCGCCGAATGCCCATGTCACAGCTGTGGCTGCAGAGACTCCACGGGGTCCAGGGGCTCCAGCCACAGGCCACTGGCGGGGTGGGGATGGGGAAGGACACAGCGGGTGTGAAGCCAGGTCAAGTGGTCCCTGGTCCCCAGCTTCTCCGGGGCACCATCAACACCCCAGGAGTTGACCTGGAGGGGCCAGCATCCTCTATGGTCCCTGAGGACACACCACCGCGGATTCCTGGGCGTCGGGGGTACCTGGGCAGGGCTCCGAGGTGCACACCATCTCACCGGAGACACAGGTACTGCAGAGAACCCATCGGGGCCACAGTCAGGCCCTGCCCGTGGAGCTCTGGGTACCTGTCCCCAGGGGCACACGGCCGGCACCACCGCGTCCACCGCACAGAAGAGAAACCCGAGGGAGGGTCTAGAAAGTAAAGCAAGTCGCCCCGCATCCCCCTCGAACTTCATGAGGTGACTGAGGTTCTCATCCGGACCCTCCCACCCAGCCCCCCACCCCGCCGTGGGCTCCCTGGCGCCCCCCAGCACAGTGCTGTCCTTCCTCCCTCACTCTGGTCAAGAAGTCACCTTCACATACTTTCATTCTGTTTGTATTTATTACAGTTTGGAAAGGACTTTGAACAGCTCCTCCGGGCCGGGTAGGAGGGATTTAGAAGGAGTAGACCCTAGCCTACGTCTCTTGGGAAGAACTGTGTACCTTTATTTCCTTTTACTTTTCTCCAGTGGTTTAAAGCCCCCCCTACCCCACTCAAATACGTGGAAATTCCAGACAAAGAATCTGAGAGAGAAAAAGCAAAAGGGAAAGGGGGCGGGGGAAAGGAAGCATGAAGGGGGGGCTGGGGGGCAGGGGATAGGGAAGAAAAAAGAAGAGGAACATGTAGAATGGAGACAAGGAAAGGGAAGAAAACAGAAATGTGGGACGAACAAGGGGGAGGGCGCCCCCTGCTGGCAGGACCTGGCATCAGCGTCAAGGTTTTTGAGCCGAAATCAAGTGGATCCAGGTAGGGAAGTACAACCAGGAAAGGGAGCAGAGGTGACTAGAAGGGGAGGCTAGAAGACCCTCACCGGCCCCTACTCCCTTCACCAATCACCGCACCTATCTGAGCCTCAGTCTCCCCACGGACGCCCAGCCCGGTGACCAGGCAGCCCCTCACTCGCTTTGGCATTCCCGGGGCCCAGGCCTGGCACCACGGAGACGAACGAACCCCTGGGGTGTGTGTCCACGCCTGGCCACCCTTGGGGCCACCGAGCCCCTCCCCCACCCTCGCCGGAGGCTGGTGGCCTACCAGTTGGTGCAGGAGTCCCGCCGAGCCCGTGCTCCCGGGGCGTAGAGCTGCCCCTGCAACTGGCAGGGGCACCGAGTGCGGGGCTAGCAGCTGGCGTTGTGCAGGAAGAGGCCGCCGGGGCAGGCACAGCCGGGGGCGCAGAAGCTGGCGCACTCTACCCCAGGGTCCTGAGCCAGGCACAGCTGAGGGCAGGGGCCCCCGTCCCGCTGGCACTGCTCTGCTGAGCGGAACACCATGTCCCCCAGGCACTGGGCTGGACGGGAAGACAGAGCGGGTCTCAGCATGGGCGGGAGGAAAGGGCCAGGAGAGGGAGGGGCGAGAGGAGGCTGCATGCAGGTGACTGGCGAGCAGGACTGAGAAGCTGGAGGAAGCCCCCTCCCACTCTCCCTCCTTTGCAGGTTCGCTCCAGTGCCCAGAGGTTGCCAGTAAAGATTCATGTCTTTGTCTAACTTTAACACAAATGTCCTTTTATTTTTTTATTTTTTAAGATTTATTTTTATTTGAAGGGGGTGGGGGGCAGAGAAAGAGGGAGAGAGAATCTTAAGCAGACTCCGTGCTAAGCTCGGAGCCCGACACGGGGCTCGATCCCACGACCCTGAGATCAGGGCCTGAAACCAAGAGTCGGGCGCTTAACTGACTGCACCACCCAGGCGCCCCAACACAAATATCCTTGAAAGGAGAGCAGTCACTGGGCTGGGGGTGGGGGGGAGCTCAAAGGAGAAAGGCGAGGTAGACGGGGCCAGGGGCTTCTAAAGATGGGCCAGCTCTGCTTTTCGCAATTCCTGCAGTGAGTGGTTCTGTGGTTCTGTGGTTCTGAGCCACGTGCCTGGGAAGGAGACCTTGGGCAGGCAGGGGCAAAGAGCCCGAGCCTCGGGCCACAGTCCGTGCCTGGTGCCCAGGGTACAGGAGCCAGAGGAGGGAGACGAGGACGTTCGGCAGCCTCTTAGCTCAGGGTCTGGCCTGGCCTGGAGCCAGAGGGCAGTGATGTGGGAAGGGGGTGAAGAGAGGTCTGCATTCCCAGGGGCTGGCTGGGCATGGCTGAGTAGAGAAGGGCAGGGGTGGGGGGGGAGGCTGGCACCTGTGCAGGGCTGCGTGTTGCAATCCCTGGTCTGGCTGTGAGGCCCCTGGCACTCGGGGTCCCCGGGAGTAACGCCAGAGCAGCTGCGCCCGCATATCTGGATGCCTCCGTCACAGGGGGCCGAGCAGGCCGACCAGGGAGCCCACAGACCCCAGGCGCCTGGCACTGTCAGGAAGAGCCAAGTCCATCATCATGGACGAGGGCAAAGGTGTGGGCAGGGGGTGGGGCGCAGGAGGGCCGGGGCTGCGTGGTGTGCGGGGTCTGAACTAGTTTCAGCTACATCCACACGGCCAGGGCTGTCCCAAACAGCCCCCAGGCTAGGCCCACCCTGTTAATCACAGGCTGGGGGCGGAGGAGAAGCTTCAGGACAACAGGTCTGCTCTAGCCCCCTGCCTCCTCCCCACCCCAGGTGTTTAGAACGGGTCATTCTTCCCCTTTGCTCCTTAACTCATCCTAGTGCCCAGGGCGCTCCAGGGGCAGAGGGGGGCGTACCTGGGCACACAGCGGGGCTGCAGGGCTCCTCCTGGGTGGCCTCTCCTGGGCAGGATGTGTCCCCGGGGCTGGGGCAGAGCCGGGAACGATGGCGCCAACCGGGGCCTCCTCCGACGGTAAGGCAGCTCTGGGAGCAGGAGGACCAGGGCGCCCAGGGGGTCCAGCCCGGCGCCTCTGGAGGGGCAAAGGGCAGGCCTTCCGCACAGGGGTCCTGGCAGAGCCGGGAGGCTTGGGAGGCCGGGTCGGGTCTGAGAAGCTATGGGGGCCAGGGAAGGACTCGTGAAGACGGGGAGTGCGTCTCTGGGCTCAGGCTCAGGCTCGGCCTCTGCCCCTCTGGGACCCCCACCCCCGGGCCCAAGTCTCACTCTCAAAGAATGGCCTCCTGCTCAGCCAAGCTCCAGCTCAGGCCGCACCCCCATCTGTGGCCCTGCTGGTACTTCGCGTCCCCTACCCACCCTCACATTGTCCCCCAGCTCAACTCTTCCAGAGTCTTCTAAACACCTGTCCTTCGTTCAGCTTCAATGCTGGAAACCCAAGCCCCCACAGACACCTGTCAATCAGACACCTGTGAGTGCCCCAGCAGCCCTGCTCCACTGCCCCCTTCTTCTCACCCCTGCTGGGAGAGCCTGGCCCAGACCCCAGGGACCCCATTCTCACCTCCGTCGCGCCCACCTGCTCTGCAGTCTCTGCTGCACCTGCTCTCCTGAGGGGACCCCGGGCAGTGGAAGAGGGAAACAGTCTGGGCTCCTTCGTCTGGCGTCTCTGTTCTGATTGCCCACCCCAGCCTCACGTTCGGCCAACAGGACCAGCTTCACCCCTGCTCTCAGACACCCTGTTCCCCCAAGACCAGCCTGCTCGTGGCACCCGGGCTGTCTATGTGGGAGGAAGATGCCGCCTGGGCCCCACCCTCTGTCTTGTCCCCGACAAAGCCCCTGGCACCAAGGCTCCTTCTTGGACCGGAAGGCCGCACTGACCACCATGCAGGTAACCAGTGGCCCCGTCAATCCTGCTGTGTTCCTAGGGCGGCAATTGGGAGGAGGGAGGCAGGCATGAGGGTCGGGGGGTGGGTAGCAGGCTCCTGCATCTTGGCTCCTGAATGTACCTGTCCTGCACTCCACGTGGCAGGCCTGCACACACGTGTCGCCTTCACATGGGGTGCCCCCAGAAGCAGCCGGAGGGTTGGAAGGGGATCTGGGGGGAGAGGCAGCCTCAGCATCCCCGCTCCTCCCCCTGCTTTCACCTGTCTTCCTTGTTTGCCTGTCCTCCAACCACCACCCTCCCTCCACCACCTCCTTCCCTTCCTTCTCCCATATTCCTTCCCCTCCCCCCACCAATGGCTCCATCCTGCACACCTTCCCTTCCCCACCCCTCACCAATGGCTCCATCCTGCACACCTTCCCCTCCCCACCCACCAATGGCTCCATCCTGCACACCTTCCCCTCCCCACCCACCAATGGCTCCATCCTGCACACCTTCCCCTCCCCACCCACCAATGGCTCCATCCTGCACACCTTCCCTTCCCCACCCCTCACCAATGGCTCCATCCTGCACACCTTCCCTTCCCCACCCCTCACCAATGGCTCCATCCTGCACACCTTCCCTTCCCCACCCCTCATCAATGGCTCCATCCTGCACACCTTCCCCTCCCCACCCACCAATGGTTCCATTCTGCACACCTTCCCCTCCCCCCACCAATGGCTCCATCCTGCACACCTTCCCTTCCCCACCCCTCACCAATGGCTCCATCCTGCACACCTTCCCTTCCCCACCCCTCACCAATGGCTCCATCCTGCACACCTTCCCCTCCCCACCCACCAATGGCTCCATTCTGCACACCTTCCCCTCCCCCCACCAATGGCTCCATCCTGCACACCTTCCCTTCCCCACCCCTCACCAATGGCTCCATCCTGCACACCTTCCCCTCCCCACCCACCAATGGCTCTATCCTGCACACCTTTCCCTCCCCCCCATGGCTCCATCCTGCACACCTTCCCTTCCCCACCCCTCACCAATGGCTCCATCCTGCACACCTGAACCTGGCCCTCACTCCAGAGCCACAGGAGCGGTCACAGGGACCCCAGGAGGACCAGGCTGACCAGCCACAGGGCACGGGGCAGCCCTCTGGTTCGCACAGCAGGGCCCCCTTCTCACACATGCTGCGGGGGAGGGGGAGGCAGAGGAGGTCAGGACTGGCTGGTCCCCTGACCCAGGTCCTCCCCACCAGAGCAGACACCCTCACCAGAGGCTGCAGTTGTCCAGGAGGAAGGGCACCCCTGGCTGCTTCAGCTCTTCACCCACGAGGCAAGGGCACTCAGAGAGGGGCAGGCAGTGAGCATCACGGAGGAGGAGCCCAGGGGGGCAGCGGCATCCTGGGGTGTAGGCAGGAGGGTCCTCAGCCCCAAGTATGGGGCAGCGGGGAGGGGAGGCTGGGGACCAAGGGCCGGCGAGTACCCCACGCTCCCCTGAGGGCTCTGCCCGCCGCACTCCTGCTTGCTGGGGGTGCCTCACCCTCCAGACAGTGCCCGCTGCAGCTTCTGTTGGCCTCAGGATCCAAGCAGGAGGGCGGACACGGAGCCACCAGCCCCTTCCGGCACAGCTCAGCACCAACATGCACACGGCCCAGCCCACAGTCTGGTGGGAGAGGGACACTAGGTGGGGTGGGTACAGGAGGCCCGGTGACCTTCCCCCACAGCCCCACCCCCGCAGGGCTCCACCCTTGGATGCCCCCGCCCAGCCCAGCTTCCTTACCTGTGTCCCCTGTGCAGGGGTGCAGGGCGCACGGTGCCCCCTCGTGGGAGGCCCCGGGGCAGGGGGCACCACCGTTCTTGGGCGGGGGGTCCACACAGCTCCTCCGGCGACTCCGATGGCCACCGCCACAGGAGACGCTGCAGGGCCCCCAAGCCCCCCACACAGCCCACGCCCCAGCCACTGTAAGGGAAGAAAGAATGGAGGTGGACCAGGTCAGCCCAAAGATATGCAGACTGTGCCGGAGAGAGTAAGGCAGCAGAGCAGAGGAGTCTGGACAGTGGCCAGCTACGTGGCCTAGGGCAGCACCACGGGGACTCCCGTGGTGATGGGTGAGCTTCCTCTCCTGTCCCAGGAAACCTCCCCTAGGTGGGTGGACCTGAGCAAAGAGCTCTAGGTGCCTCCCAGGATAAAGGCTCTGGTCCCTCAGAAAGGGCTGGGACAGTGGGACTCCTGGAGCAGGGCGCCTCCTGGTGGCAGCAGACAGAAACCATGTTAGGAGGCCGGGTGTGGTGCAGGAAGCCCCTCTGCAATGCAGAGGCAAGGTGGGGACTACTCCCTCAGATCTACAGAACAAAAAGGCTACAGGTCTTGGGCACAGCCTATTAACACCCTCACTCTGAAGTGGGACCCGCTCTGCTGCTCTAGTTCCCACACTCGAGGTTAAGGACCCGTCCAGAACCACTCAGGCAGGAAAAGGGAAAAGGGCAGGGCCAGGGGCAGGCTTCCCGATTAGCCTTCTGGACGCACAAGGCTGGGACATCAGAAGGGGCTGGCCTCCTCGAGTCCCGGAGAGGAGCCTGGACCCTGGGGTCCCCAGGAGAGCAAGGGCATCCCCCTGGTGTGGGTCTTGGATGGGAGCCCACGGCAGGTGTTCCCACCCCGGGGTCCTGAGGAGGCCTGGGTGCCGGTTACCTGGGCAGGTCTGCACGAAGCAGGGCTGGCTGCGGAGCCTGTCGGATGGGCAGTTGCCCCCAGGCAGGGGAGGCCGCAGCAGGTCCCGGCGCTGGAAGGCGAGGCCCAGCCCACAGGTGCGGCTGCAGAGGCTCCAGCCAGACCAGGGCGTCAGCCCACAGTCCACTGCAGGGGGACGGGGAGGCGGGACTCAGAGGGGGCTCACGCAGGAGCGGGGCCCTCAGAGGTGTCCCCTGGCCAGGCACGTACCACAGCCGTCCTCAACAGAGCCGTCCTGGCAGTCCGGCCGCAGGTCACAGTGCCGCTCAGCCGGCAGGCACTCCCCATTACCGCAGCTCAGCTGGCTCGGGGAGCAGAGGGCTTGCGAGGCCGGCAGCCCGGGCAGGGCCGTGGTGGGCACCGTGAAGGGCACAGGGCTCGCTGCCCGCGAGGTCGGGGGAAGGGAGCCACGTAAGTGATTCCTGACCCGATGATAAACTGAGCCCCTTCAACCTCAGGCCAAGAGCAGAGCGGCTTGTTGACCAGAGGTCCGGCCTCTCCTTTCTCCTGAAGCTTCCCACACCCCGGGCAGCCTTCTCTCTACTCTGTGTGGGTGAGACCCGGGGGTCTGTGCTCACTCACTACAGGCTCTCACATGGTCTCTCTGCTTGCTAAGGGCTCTGAGTGTCCAGAGAGAGATCGAACTGTCTAGAAGAACAGTTCCTTCCCTAGGATACCCTCTTCTTGAATGGGTGCTCCCAGGGGTGCCCCTTCCCTGATTGAGAGGCTAGGCTGGGAGCATAGTAATCTACTTTCGATGGATGGATGGATGGATGGATGGATGGATGGATGGGTGAGGAATGATGGATGGGGTGGCTGAATGAATGCTGGAAGGCTGGCTGGAGGAGGGATGGGTGAATGGAGGGTGGGTGGATATATGGATGGGTAGATGGATGGATTAATGGATAGTTAGAGGAATCCACTCAAAGATCAGACGGGGTTTGTGGAACAGGTTAGGACCCGAGACCTGTCCCATTTGCCCCCCTGACCATCCCCAAAGACACACACATTCCTGGCTGTTTTACCCACTCAGTTTCTTTTCACTCTCTGCTACCCCCAGCCCCCCACAGTTCCTTCCCAGATGAGGTAGGAATAGGGGGCAGAGACTTCCCCAAACCTAAAGCCCTCTGGCCACTGCCACCCACATGACTTCAAACCCTCCAGGGCGCCCTGAGGGCCCCCTGCTTACCACAGTGCCTCTCGTCGGAGCCGTCCAGACAGTCCTCCCTCCTGTCACACAGCTGCCCTGCTCCACACATCCCAGCACCTCACAGGGCACCTGGCCTGGGCTGCACCTTGCCGGGGCGAAGGGCTCTGGGGCGACGCTCTGGACTGTGGGCACCACCACAGCCGGCTGACGGGACACCTGCCCACGGTGTCCTCCCTCCCTCGGCCCCCAACCTCCCTCCTCCTGACTGGTGTGCCCCCACCTCCTGCCTCTCTTGGGACCATGGAAAAGTCATGAGCTGCCTCAGGAGGCGTGGTCCTAGGTCCTTCTACAACCCTGACCTCAAGCTGTGTGATCTTGAGCCAAGTGGCTAACCCCCGGGGCCTCTGCTTCCTCCATCAGGGACGTTGTTGGGATGAACAGGCTTAGAAGGCAGAAGACCACGGAATCTTACCAGCAGGGGCCACTGGGGTCACCTGGGATATGGGGGTGGTGGTCACGGTCTGCACAGATTCCCCAGGACTCAAGTGAGGAGGCTCGGAGGCTAGGGCCTGAGTCGCTGGTCCCTTCCCTGCGGGTGCAGGAGGGAGAGGGGTGAGGCCCACCAGCTCCCCTTCCGAGAGACGAAGCAGACACAGGCTCTCGGAAGGGCATCCAGGCTCTGGGTGGTGCAGGGTGAGGACAGACCATACCCCACCTTCTGAGGGGCTTCAGACCACAGATGAAGGGGGATTCCGCAGCCCAAGGAGCACAGGAGGGTTTTACATGAAAGTAGAAAAGAGCTTAGTTTGGAGCTGAGATAGACACTCGGGGCAGCTTCCAAGTCAAAGGGACGGTACTGTGTTTAAGGCCCCGCACCCGACAACTTCCTGGCAGCTACAGTGAAAAGGGGTTTGAGACTCTGCTTTGCCAACAAGAGATGAATATTGGGGCGCCTGGGTGGCTCAGATGGTTAAGCGTCTGCCTTCGGCTCAGGTCATGATCCTGGAGTCCCTGAATCGAGTCCCGCATCGGGCTCCCTGCTCAGAGGGGAGCCTGCTTCTCCCTCTGACCCTCCCCCCTCTCATGTGCTCTCTGTCTCGCTCATTCTCTCTGTCTCAGATAAATAAATAAAATCTTTAAAAAAAAAAAAGAGATGAATATTAAAAGACAGCCGTTTTTCTAGAAGCAGATTTAGAATGACATTAGAATTCATCCCACGGTCTGCACGTTATGGACTCCAGTGATGATATAAGTTGCTTCATCTGCTTTTTACAAAAGAACAGCCCACTCCTCCCCCACCTCGCTCTGGGACAGCTCTCCTTGGGCCAACGCGCAGGTGACAGATCAGGCAGCCGCAGGGAGCTCCTTCCTTGTCCAGTTTAGGATCTTGCTAACTTGGTGACCCCATCCTCCCTGTCATTTGCTGCCAGCAAGCCCTTCCGAAAGGGGTGCCTGGCTGCATTCATGGGTGAGTGGAGGGACCGCAGGTGGGGCCGGGCAGCGTTCCACAGCCCCAGGGAGACCTGTCCCGGCCAGGGACCTGGGGAAGGCAGCCATACCGCAGGGCCCAGGCTCGGCCCTGGGAGCCAGCCTGGGGCATCCAACCCTGGAATCCAGGAGGGTGGGCGGGGGCAGGATTTGGCCAAGGAGGCCATGGGGACCAGGTCTTCCTCCTCGAGGCCACCCTGCTCCACTGAGGGATGTCAGGGGTCAGCAGGAGACTGACCGCTGAGATGTAATGGTCCCTCACCCTGCGGGCTGGGGACGGGGGACCTGGAGTTTGTGCACATACCTGTGGGGGGTATGGATGACCCTCGCGAGGGATGCCAGTGTTCGGCCTCTGCCAGAGCCTGTGGAGGGAGAGGGCTCAGCCTGGGCCCCAAGGGCAGTCCTGCCTGGCGACTAAGCACCCACCTCTCATTCCCATTGAGATGCGCCTGGGTCCCACGGCCCCTCCGCTGTCCTCAAAGTGCAGGGTAGAGCTGGGGAGTGGAGCCCCATTGCTCTGCACACCTCCGGGCTGGACACCCCAGGTACTGGGAGCTCAGGGGCTCCTCTCACTGCCTCACCTAGGATTCTGCTTCAGCTCCTGCCCCCCAAAACCCCTGTCTTCCACCGGCATCCACACATGTGGGCCTCAGCACTATGATCACTCTCCCCTCTGGGTTCCTGACCAGGCTCTTCTCCAGAGGGAGCGTCTACCCCTCAGCTCCACATTACAGAACTCCCTCATCTTTCTAGCCTTTTCCAGGAAGCCTCTGGGGACCCCAGGGACAAATAGGGCTCTTCCCAGCTCTGAGCGCCTGAGGCCCTGGTGCCAGCCCTGTGGGCATAACTTCACTACCCAGTGGTGAAGACCTCTCCGATCTCCCAAACTCCTCCAGCACAGGCATCTGCCTGGGGCTTCTCTGCCCCTCTGGCCTCCAGCTGCCCATCCAGTACCGGGCTGGCCCCCAGAAGTCTCACGGGCTGAGGCAGACTACAAGAGCTGACCAGGGATGCACAGAGAGGCAATGCTGGCTGAAGGCGTGAAGAGAGGGTGGAAGACGGCGGGGCAAGCGAACATGGCTGCTGAGGCCCCAGGGCCGGGGCTCCCCATGCCCTGCACCCCCCTCCTGCTGGGCCTGCAGCTCCCCACTCACCTCTGTGGGCTGGGGGGGCAGCTGTCCAGGCTGGGTGGACGAGAGCACTGGGGTCCTGGCTGTGGACCAGACTCTGAGAAGACAAATCATCAAGGACTCCAGGGGCTCTCCCAACCTCAGAGCAGCCCCCCTCCAGCCCCCAGCAGGGCGGTCAGTGCCCTCTCTGGGTGGGCCCAGCGCAGGGCAGGGCTGGGGCACTCTGGAAGGGCACTGCCCGCTAAGACTAGATGAAGTGGACACTATCCCAGTGGTTTTCAGTGTATTAACCCCCCTGGAGGGCTTGTAAAGCAGATTTCTGTTACAGGCTCAAGGGTCTGTCTCAGTAGGTCTGAGCTGGGGCCTGAGAATCTGCATTGCTCACAACATCCAGGGGATGCTGATGCTGCTGGTCCAGGGGCCACATTTTGAGAACCACTAACCTCCAGACTCTAGGAAAAGGGCATCGCATCCGAGCATCCCATGGTGGGAGGGGCCTCTCGCCACGGGCACCTCAGGGCTGAAGGTGGCTCAGGGCATCTCTCACAGGCCGGCCCCTCTAAGGCGAAGCTGGGCAGCAGGGCACCCCATACCTGTCAGTGGCTGCGGGCAGGGGCACGCAGCCCTCCTCGTCGGAGCCATCCTCACAGTCCTTCAGCCCCTCGCACGGCTCCCCCCGCGGAGCCCACTCACCACCGGCACAGCGGTGCCCGCCCCCTGGGCACGGGGGCACCGCCTGCGGGGACACTGCTGGGAGGGGATGGCTGAGGGCTCCCGTCGGCCCCTCCCCCTGCGCCGCCCCTCCCTCCCCCAGCCCACCGGTACCTGGCTCACAGCCCAGCAGCTCCACCTGCAGGGAGATGCTGCGGTTGGCGTGGCCGCGGCGGACCTGGGGCCACACCCGGACGTGCTGTGCCTGCATCATCTGGCGAAAGGTCTGCACTGTGGGGGCCCCGTCCTCCCGGTTCCTAGGGGAAAGCTGCAGAGACAGGGCGGCCCGTTCACCGGGCCCGGGGCCGGCCTTTTCTCCAGGCTGCCTCCCCTGACCCCGCTGAGTGGGCCCGCCCAATTCAAGCCCCCCAAACTTCAAGGCACGAAGAGCTCCGGCTCTCCTGGCATGACTCATCAGGATCTCTCAAGGCTGTGGGTTCTGGCCCTGGTGCCCCAAGGGCAGGGGCCGGGTTGTGCCCATTCGTGTATCCCCAGAGACAGAATTCAGAGCAAATACATGGTTCCTCCTGCTTCGGGAGGCTTGTCTCCCTGGGGAGGCTACAAACCCGTAAGGGCAGGGCTGTGTCCCAGCTGCTCTTGACGTGGTCCCTACGATCCTCAATGAACTTGATGTCCCCTTAGTCCGCCCCCCCCCAGAGCTTTGCACACCTGCCCTGCACCTCAGCCACTGTGATAGCTTCTGATGCCCTTTTGACAGCCCCTGTTCCTGACAGGTGTCCAACAGGCCTCTAAGGTAGTAATGTCCCTCAGGGAGACTGGAAGGCGCTCAGGGACAAAGACAAAAACAAAGAAGGCCACTGGCCCAGGAGGCTCGGGCAGCCGTACCTTGGCTGGGGGCAGGATACCAGGCAGGATATCGGTATAGTTGTGCCAGTGTAGACCATCGCTGCTGAACTGGAGCAAGGCCGAGGACCCAGCCCCCTGCACCATGATGCCTGGGGGGTGGGGCAGGGGTCCGAGCTGAAAGAGTGAGCCCCACCCCCAGCCCACCATCACCGCCCAGTCCTCCGGCCCCCGCCCCCACTGCACTGACCAGTGAGGTTCTGGGGCAGCAGCAGGTCCAGCAGCAGGTAGGGGGGCCGGGTGTGCCGCTGAGTGCTCCGACCCGGATAGCCAGGCCCCTTGGTGGGAGCCCCCAGGAGGGCAGCCTGGGTGGGGGGCTCCAGCTTCAGGCTTCCCCAGGGAGTCAGGCCAGGCCCAGCAGGGAATAGCAGGGGTCTGAGTGCAGAGGAGAGAGGGGCTGGAGTGGGAGAAGGGCAGACGGTGGCAGGAGCCTCCCAGGGGTACAGTCAGGAGGTCACCAGGGGAGCTGAGGCATGCCAAGGGCCCCACGTTGACCTTGACCCGGGATGGAAGGGTGGTCCAGAGAGGGCAGTCAGACCAGCAACTTGAGCCAGGATGACTTCCAGATCCTTAGGATAACTGTCCTCCCATGGAAGGCGGGGGTAAATCCCAGTGAGCTAGCCTGCCTCCCCTCCTGGCTGGGTGACCCCTGGGCAATGTCCACTCTCCGTTCCACGACAGCTCGTGGCCCTCACCTCCAGGCAGAGGCAGAACGTAGGTGACCAGAGGGGGTCCGATCTGGGCACTGAAGGCTGGAGAGGGGGCAGGAGTGGCCAGGGGGCGGACCATCTGGTTCTCTCCTGTGTAGGGAAACTCAGGGCTCAGGAGGGAGAGACTTGCAGATAGGCTCACACTGGCCCCTGCCCCGGCACCCAGGTCTCTCCCCACTTCCTGGAGCACTTTCTCTCCCAGGACTTCCCGGGAGCCCCCAGAACAACCTCCCAGCTGGGAAAGGTCTGTCCTCCTTCCCTTGGCATGAGCTGACGGTTTCCACTCCCACTGAATATTTAGAGAACGTAGAATAAAACCACCAGTCTGAAATCACTTCAGGCCTACTGTTGCTAATAGGGGACTTTTGTGGGCACTATGTAAGGGTATCTCTGGATGGAAGCAGGGTTGGGGTCTAGCTCCCACTTGCCAACTAACTTGTACAGTGAACAACCTGTACAACTGTGTATGCTGGCTCTCCTCTAACCTCAGCTGCCTGTAGGTACACTTTACAGATAAGGAATCTGGACCCATAAACACATCAGTTTTCGAGTCTTTGTATTTTCCTGTTTCACTTATTTATTTTTATCTTTTTAAAGATTTTATTTATTTATTTGATGGAGATAGACAGAGATAGCGACAGACAGCATGAGTGGGGAGGAGAGGGAGAAGCAGGCTCCCCGCTGAGCAGGGGCCAGGACCCTGGGATCATGACCTGAGCCAGACGCAGATGCTCAACCAACTGAGCCACCCAGGTGCCCCTTGCTGTTTCATTTATAACTCGGTTTCCTCTTTAAAAAGTTCAACTTCAGGCACCTGAGTGGCTCAGTCGTTAAGCGTTTGCCTTCGGCTAAGGTCACGGTCCCAGGGTCCTGGGATCGAGCCCTTCATCGGCTCCCTGCTCAGCGGGGAGCCTGCTTCTCCCTCTCCCACTCCCCCTGCTTGTGTTCCTGCTCTCGCTCTCTCTCTCTGTCAAATAAATAAATAAAATCTTAAAAAAAATAAGAAGTTCAACTTTGTCTCAGTTGCTCTTAGGGGAAAGGGAAGGAACCAGACCTGGCCCAATAGAACCAGAGATAAGAAAGCACCCTCAAGGCGGGAGGCAGAAAGCCTCAAAAAGACAGAGGAGGCAGGCAGAGATGGAGACCTGACCTCAGGAGAGCAGAGACCAGTCCTCCCACCCAGAGGGCCCCTTCCTTCCCCAGCATCCAGGACCCAGGCTCCCACTACCCTGCGGCCTGTAACCACGGCCCCCCCCCAGACTCAGTGCTGCCACCTGGGGCTCCCGCTGAGCACCTGCTGTCCTCCTGCCCTTGGGGTCCCCCTGCCATTCCCCAGACCCACTCACCAGGCGGGGCGCAGCGGCAACATGAACCTCCCATTCCCTCCACCAGGACCCAGTCCTGTGGACACAAGAGTCAGGCTGGACATGCCGAGCTGGCCACTGCCAACCTCCGACGCAGTCTATCAGCTGCCTGCAACCCTGGCCTTTGCACCCTGCGCCTCCCCTGGCCCGGCCCAGGCCCCTCTGCCCCCTCAGCTGGGGGCAACTGCCCAGTGGGCAGTACGGGGAGCAGCGCACGGTGCTGCTGGGCAGACACTGGCAGACCGTGCAGGGGCCTCTCGCCAGCGCTCCCCCACGCCACGGAGCCGGCCCTGCCGCTCACAGCCCGCACAGGCCTCCATCCGGCACCTGGAAGAAGGGCCGCTGCATGCCTGCCCAGCGGGCTCACCCAGGCCACCAACCTGTCCTGATTTGCCTCGAGTGAGTGGCTTCCCAGGACTTCCCAGTGATAAAACTGGGACAGTCCTGGGCCGACTGGGATGCTCGGGCTCCCTATCACCCAGATCCCACCCCTGCACCCGAGAAACTGCAACTAGCCCCAGAGAGGGGTGTGGAAGCAAGCTGTGCCACAACCCTGGCCCGTGGAGCCCATTTCAGAGGGGGGTGGGCAGGCAGATATGACTACACCCCTGCAACCCTCCCCCCACCAAACCAGAGGACCCATACCTGACCCTAGATTTGTGGGCTCCCTATATCCCCCTTTCGGACTTGGAGGGTGTAACACTGGTGCAGGAGAAGGCCAGGGGTTCCCCAAAACTGTGCTGGGAGTCCTGGTGTTTAGACTAATAAGGCTCAGAGTTGGGGGGTTCCTCATCTGGGGTCCATGGTGCATATGGAAGCATCTCGAGTGAGAAAGAGCTCACCAGCAGCTTCCTAACTGGGAGCCAGAGGCGAGGGGAAAAGGTCCCTGTGGGTCCCCGGGGAGGGTGCAAGTACCTGCGGGCCTTGTGGTGGATGCCTCGGCACTGGCGACCTTCGCCGGAGAGGTGGGGGTTGTTGGGGCTCCGGAAGGACCACTGAATGTTCTGGCTCCCACAGGGGCCCAAGCACTCAGCCCATGGGGACCAAGAGGACCAGCCACAGTTCACTGAGGGAGGGCCAAGAGTCAGGGGCTGGAAGAGGGCTGGGTGCCCAGCTGGGTGGCCCGGGAGGGGACGAGGGAGGCCCCGGGGAAAGGCCAAGGGCAGGGCCTCACCGGCACAGCCAGGGTCGGGCCGACAGCGCTGAGGCCACCCATCTTGGCAGGTGCAGAGCTGGCAGTCGGCCTCGATGCGCTGCCCGGACCACTCCACTTGTCATCCAGCAGGCAGGGGCACTGCCGGGCCACACGCCCCGCCCCTCGCTGCCCAGCACCTGGCCTGCAGGGCACCAGCAGCCTGGGGGAGGCCCAGGGTGAGGCTTCCCTGCAGAGAGCTCCACCTCCGCAGACACACCTGCCACCCCCCGGGCCCAGAGCCCCCCTTACCTGGGCCACTGCAGGTCTGGTTAGCCGCGCACACAGCCTGACCAGAGATTTCAGCACAAGTCAGGGGGCAGGGGGCACAGGGCCAGAACACCAGCTGCCCAGAGCAGGTGGCACTGGGGCAGCCATCCTGAGGGCAGGGCCCTGAGAGAAAATCAGAACCAGAGTCTGGGAAAGGTGGGTCCCCTGCAGACACAAGCCACCCACCAGCAAGCCCACCACACCCTCCTCCCAGCTGTGCCCCCCCTTCCTGGCACTCACTGGTCTGGCGGGTGGTGGGAGGGCCCCCGGGCAGCATGGCACAGGTCCGGCCCCCATTCTGGGGAGGGTGGCACTGTCGCTGACGGGTCATGGTGCCCATGCATGGCTCAGCGCACAGGGACCAGGGAGACCAGAAGGTCCATTCGCCACCCACTGTGAGCAGGAGGGGCAGGATGCGTTGGTGGGCGTGAGGCCAGGCTGTGAGCCCTGTGGCCTTCCTCTCCCTTGCTCTCTCTGGGCCTCCACCTGCCCCGCTGGCCCTCCCAGGCACCCCAGGCCCCTCACCTGGGCAGGCGGCCGTGAAGCAGGCCTGAGTCTGGTGCTTGGGGCCTGGGCAGTGCTGCAGCATGGGGAGACCCGGTGGGGAGCAGTGGCGGCTCCGGCCCTGCACCCCAGGCCCCCACGTCCGGCTGCACGGCCCCCACGAGTTCCAGGTGCCCCAGGCCCCACAGCCCTGCTCTTCTGGGGAAGGCCCTAGCTCCGGGCCCGTCACAAACCTGGGGAGGGAACGGGAGCAAGGTTCCTCTCGAGTTGGGTGGCACAATGGCTCTGTTTCCTGCGTCACCCACTCTCCCCCTCCCCGCCCCCTCACCAGCTGGAAACTGATGCAGAGGCCATCAGGGCAGGAGTATTCCGGGCAGGGAGCCCTGGTCCCGTTGGGGCCTCCTGGGGCTGTCATCCCCTCTGAGGGGAAGGGAAGAGAAAACAGACCAGGAGTGAGAACTGCTCACCCCCCCCCCCCCACCAGCAGCCTTGGCCTCCGTCAGGGGAGCAGTGTCCCTCCCACAGCCCAGCTCATCCTCGCCCTGGGAACAGTCAGCGATCCCATCACAGAGCTGCTCAGGGCTCAGGCACAGCTGGGGAGCCAAACCACAGGGGGCGGCTGGGGGGGGGGGCGGGGAGCCTGTGGGCACCAGAGGAGTGTCCCGTTGAGCCCCTGCGTCTCCCTCCCACTCTCTGCAGAGGGGCCGGCAGGGGGGAACCAAAGCAGGGGAGGGCAAGCAGGAGGCAGAGCCAACACTGAACCTGAACCTAGCTCAAAACCACCTTTGGGAGGGGTCCAGGAGGGTCAGGCAGACCTGGGGAGGAGTCGGAGCCGTGGACAGCTGCCCCCTCCACCCAGGGACCGGTGGCCGGGACAGGAAGGGCTGCTTCGCAGGGGCACAAAGGGAACGCCCGGGTCTGGGGGGGTGGAGCTGGAGGGCTAGCCCTCCAAACAGGCTCACTTCCCGTGCCTGCAGAGCCGCTGCCCGCTCTCTTATCCCTTCTTGCCCAAATGTGGGCAGACAAAAGCCCCTTTCTTCTCTCCCCTGGGCCTGGGTGGGAGGGCAAAGATCTTCAAAGAGAGTTTCGTGAAAACGATCAAAGGAGGCTCTGAGGCCGCAGACCTAAGCGGCACTCGGGGTGGCAGGCGCGCGGCTGGGGCCGGGGGTGGGGAGAGACGGGGCCCCGGCGGCTGCGCGGCGGCCGGGCTCTCACCGCAGGCGGCGGGCCCTCGTCCGAGCCGTCGGGGCAGTGCGGCACGCCGTCGCACAGCTGCGCGGGGGCCACGCAGTGCGGGCCGCGGGCGCAGGGCGCGGGGTGCGGGGCGCAGGGCGGGCCGCAGCCGTGCTCGTCGCCGCCGTCGGCGCAGTCCTCCTCGCGGTCGCAGCGCCAGCCCCGGGGCGCGCACTCGCCGCAGCCGCACGGGAATTCGAGGGGGCGCAGGGCGGCGCTGCGACGGGCACCCGCGCTAGACCGGGCGTGGGGAGCGGGCTGCCCGGGCCGCCCGGCCCCTCCGCCTCCGCCGCCCGCCTCCCCGCGCCGGCCCTGCCGGCCCCTCTCCTGCGGCCGGACTTCCCCCACCTCCAGCCCCTCCCCACGTCCAGGCGCTCCCGCATTTCGCCGCCTCCCCCCCCCACTGGCTTCCCAAAAGCTCTCCCCTCGCCCAGGAATTGCATTGAGCACCCCAATCCCCTCATGTCAGTGGGAGCGCCTCGGATGTCAAGAAGTAAGACGGGGACTCTTCCAGGCCCTCTCAAACCCCTTTCAGGAGGCTGGGTCTGTGCCCGCTCCTCACCCCCAGCACCTGCCCCAGTGCCTCCCTCTGAGATGCTCTCCCCACCCCTCTTTCCCAGGCCTCCGGATTCCAGCTCTCTCATCCCTTTTCCTCCAGGACACTCACCGGGGCTGGCGCTGGCCCGGGGAGTTGGTGCAGTCGCCCCAAAGCCCGCGGAAGGGCCAGGCACAGTGCCCGCTGGGGGAGTGGGCAGCGAAGGGAAGGGGCAGTGCCCGGGTCCCTCGTCGGCTCCATCCGGGCAGTCCCAGATTCTGTCACACAGCAGGACGGCCCCCACGCAGGTGCCATCAACGCAGGACAGCTCCCCAGGAGAGCAGTTCAGCTGCCCTGCAGCGGGAGAAAGCGGGAGCTGGTCCCAAGGCACTGGCCCTTAAGCTGGCTGTTTGGGGTGCCCCCATTCACACACCTGCGGGTGCGAGCTTCCTAGCAGGAACCTGAACTGGTGACGGAGGGGAGGCAGGAAGGTTGGGGCTCAGTGGGAGGGGCTGCCTGGTGGACTGGAGTCCTGAGCTAGCCCACCCACCCAGACAGGCCTCCTCGTCAGCGGCGTCCGGACAGTCGGGATGCCCGTCACAGAGCAGGGCGGGGGGCAGGCAGCGCCCATCAGTGCAAGCCAGCGTGTCGTGGGGGCATGGCAGCCCTGCTCGTCCGTCCCGTCTCCACAGTCGTCCTGCCCGTCACAGAGCAGGGCCAGGGGCAGGCAGTGGCCAGAGCGGCAAAACATCTGCCCCTCCCCACAGCCTGGCATGGGGCAAGCAGGCAGGGTAGGGATGACAAAGGGTCCTAGAGGAGCCCCCCGACGCCGGAAAGACCAGAACAGCCCTGCCCACCAGCCCTAACTGCTGCCACTGTGAGGAGCAGCTCAGGACACGCTGTAGCGACGCGTTCGAGGACTGACCGTCACTCAGCCACTGCCCCAGCCAGGCAAGGACACTCACCCTCCTCGTCTGAGCCATCGCCACAGTCATCCTGGTTGTCACAAGGCCACCTGTGGGGCACACAGTGCCCACTGTCCCGGCATGGGGCCTCTCCCTCCGCACAGCCAGGCTCCAGCTCCTCACAGCGGGTAGTGTCGCTCTCGCAGAGCCACTGGCTTTCCTGGCATGTGCTGAGCGCACAGCATCCTGGGATCAGTCACAGCGCTGGGCTTTGCCAGCCCGGGGGTAGGGGGGCTCCCCAGGACCCCCCCCCACTCACCAGTTCCCACAGTCCTTCTGCAGCACAGTCCCCAGCAGGAAGAAGCTGCCCCCTGACTCACAGGGGCAGGAAGCTGGTTCTAAGCAGACTCCTCCTGGGGTCACAGAGGGCAGGACTGGAGCAAAAGGGGCACAGCGGCCCCTAGTGCCAGCCCTGTCACCGTGGCCTTGCGGCTCTCCTCCCCGTCCCCCCCCCTCCCCCGCCCGCCGCTGCCTCCCCTCTGCGGATTCTGACCCTACCCACCATGCAGCAGAGTCCCCTCGGGGCAGAAGCAGCCCTCCACACAGCCTGGCAGTGCCACCCGGGCTCAGGACCACGGTCATGGCAGGTCGGGGGACACATGGGGCCACAGGCCTCGTACACCTGGCCCCCTTCACACTGCAGAGCTGGGGAGAGAGGAGAGAGCTTGGGTCACCGTGGTGCAAGGGCACCAGGATGCAACAGCAGCAGGCGAGGCAGCCCAAGATGAGACACACGGAGGGCACGGGGAGCACGTGGAGACTTGCTGAGCCCCTCCCAAGGCTGTTTGCAACATGGAAGTTCTACGGGAAAGCAAGCTCGGCATGCTTGGTGCCCACCACACATATTTGCCCTTGAATGATACATGGCTTGCTTGCAGGCCAGGAGGAACATCCGCGGTGGGATTGGGCACTGGGGACCAAGGGCAGGGCACACTCACGGCAGAGTTCCTGGCTGTGCCAGCGCACGGGGAGCCCACGCCGGGCACACTCGTCTGCGCAGGTGGCAATGGCCGAGCAGAGACACTCACAGTCGCCCCCCGAATCGCAGCTGTGCAAGGGATTGTTCAGCCCCCGGACGCCGTCCCCACCCCCTGGCCCCCATTCCCACCCGGTCCCCGGCTCGCCCCTCTCACCCGCACGCGTCATGCACACACCGCTCGTAGTGCTGCTGCGGAGGCACCTCTGCGTGGCACCGGGCAAAGAGCGACTGCAGCATCACCCCGCGGCGGCCGCGGGCCCAGCTGGCCCGGTGGGCGTTCACCTACGGGCACAGCACCGTGGGCCAGCCAGACCCCACCCGCAGCAGCCGGCCTCCGGATCCTCCCCCCCGCCCCCCGCAGGTTTCCTGCAGCCGCCCCCACGCCCTTCCCCCTGCCTGCCGGGGCTCACGGTGCAGGGGTGTGGCAGGTCTCCTGGCTCGGGGCAGAGCGGACTCAGGTGCCAGGAGTGGGCAGCCAGCTCCGCTGTGGGCTCAGGACGCCCTGGCGGCTCCGCAGGTCGTTACTGGCATCTCCATCAAAATCTCCACACAGCCCAGACACACGGCCACGGAACTGTGGGGACAGCTGCACCAGGACCCGGGTGCCTGGGCAGGGAGGGCAGCGGGGCAGCATTGTGGAGAAATGACCCCATGGGCCTTCCTCAGGGCCAGGGGCGGGAGAAGACCAAGGGCAGGTATTCTGTGGGCCTGTTCGACCACCACCTGGTACCACCACCTGGTTTTTTGCGGAGGCTGATTGGCGATGATAAGAGACATACACCTTGGGGGGCTAGGACAAAAGTGGGAGCCTACTCTCCCAACCAAACCCAGGTGAGGGGGAGCAGGGAAATTCTCCAGCAGGCTGGATTCCGGGCAGGAGCCAGGCTCCAAGACAGACTGGGACACCCACCAGCCCCAGAGGCCTTGGTGGCCGGAGGCTCAGAGGGCAGCCCCACCGTGCTGACCAGACAACTCCTTCCCATGCCAGGGGTTACTCTGGTTTTCCTCAATTTCTCAGTAACTGTTATTTCTAAAATGCCAACTGCTTGGGCTTGGGTGGTGGGAGGTTAGGTTTATTTTCATTTCTTCTTTCCCAAACTGAGTATTTTCTAAATGTTTCTTTGGTGAGGAGGTATTGCTTTTACATTGAAGAGAAACATAACATTAAAAACATAATTTGGGAACTCCCACCACTCGTATGGAAGAGGAAGAGTCGGGGGGGGGAGGGGGGTCAGCCTCATGATGCTAAGGCGGGCATGGGTCAGGGGTGGGGGCCTGACCTCCGTCCCAGAGCAGGCTGAGGCCCAGGCGGGTCGTGAGCAGCAGGAAGAGACCAGCACGGAGCAGGCTCAGCCCAGGGCCTGCGCAGACCTTGGGGCCCGTTATGCTCACACCATTCACCATCACTGCCCGGCCTATGGAGGAAGAGAGGCGTTCGGACTCTGCCTTGGAGTCGAAGGGCTCCCAGATCCCCAGGAACCCCTCCCCAGCCTGCCTCCAACCTTCCTTTTGCTTCTCCAGCTATGTGACCTTGGGCAAGTCATTAGGCCTCTCTGGGCTTTAATTTCTTGGAGGCTTCCAGAATCAGGATTCCCAACCAAGAGGAGAGAGGAGAGGCACCAGCCCCACTGCACAGATGGTGAGCAGTGGGGGAGCCCAGGCCTTGGCCCCCCGTGCAGCAGTGTGATGCCGGCCGGCGTGCCCCTCCCCACTGGCAGTGCCATCCTGCCACATGGCGGCCACCTCTGAGCATATGCACAACAGTGCTCTGTAGTTGCACGGTCAGCGCCTTGGTGCAGGTGAGCCCACTGGCCCCACAGGGCAGGTTCTGGGCAGAGACGCTGAACCAGCCGCTGGCCTCTTGAACCAGCAGATATTCGCAGGCTCCAGGGAAGGTGAAAGCCAGCCCATCAAAGGTGACGTAGTGGGGGGCACCCGATGCCTGGCACCATCCGCCGCACCGGTGGCCCGTGCGGTGCCATTGCTGAGCCTGACATACGCTGTGGGTGGGGGTGGGGCGGGGAGAGGGAGGCATGAGGACGGAGACCCAGAGCTGTATCCAGGGGATGTAGCTGTCCAGGTTCCAAGCAGCAGACCCTCAGCGTGGGGCAGTCCTGGAGAGCTCCCCTTGCCCAGGCCAGTCTGGATATCCCACCTCATCCCAGTTCAAGGCGCTAGGCATACCGAATGTTCCAGTCCTCCTGGATGGTAGTGTTGGGCGGATACCACTGCCCTCCGTGACGGCAGGGACAGAGCTCAGGAGGCACGCAGCGCTCGTTCTGGGCAGAGGCCGGGACAAAGGGGCACCTTGGAGGGCTGAGTGACCCGCCACCCACCGTTTCAGACACCCAGGGGGGCTAGGGCAGTGCCCTGGGTGGAGCAGGGGCCACGGTGCCTCGTGCAGCCCCCTCCCAGACTTACCAGCAGCACGGTGCCTGGGGGACAGACACAGCTCCCTGGGCTGTCCGGGGGGCAGGAGTGGTTGGCACCAGGGCTGTCACACGTGAGGAGGCAGGCACCAGGGACATAGACAAGGTCACGGGGGCAGAATGTCTGCTGGGGGCCACAGCGGTGAGCAGAGCAATTCCAGAGGCCCCTCTCCTGACAGACACTGCCGAGGATGGGAGGCAGGTAAGAGGCAGGCCCAAGGCAGGACTCACCTCCAGGCGCCTCTGGTCTGGCCTGGGAGAGTCTCAGGAAGCCACGGGGTCCAAGCCCCTAATGTTGACTCTGGAGACCTGAGCATCTCACCCCCCACACCTCAGTTACAAGCACAGGAAGTGGGGCTGCTCCCCGCGCCAGCCATATGCGGGATGGACATGGTCACCCTTTCCTGCCCCAGCTCCAATGGGGCCATTCTCTGGGCTCTGAGGTTCTCAAAGAACCCCATTCCCAGCCAGGTAGGAGAGGGATTCTCTGAAGTCTCATCCTCACCCACCAAGCCCTGGCCATTGGCCCTGACTCCACAGGTCCAGAACTGGCCTTTACTTCTCCCTAACCCTTGGAAGAGCCTCTGGACCACAGTCAACCAGAATTCAGAGATCTGGGTTCTAGTCCTTCATCATTAACCAGCTGTGTGACTCTGCAAGCCGTGTGGCCTGTTAGAGCCTCAGTTTCCTCATCTGCAAAACGGGAACAATTCTTCCACTTCCTACTTTACTAGGTCATTGTAAGAATGCGGTAGAATTACATAAGATGATGTACAAGAGTGCTTTATAGGCCTGAAGTGCTCCACAACGAGGCGAAGCTGTGAGTGCTCTGTCGCCCCACCCTAACCCACAGGGCTACAAGCCCGGCCCCTTTTCTCTAAGCTCCACCTCTTCACCCCCAAGCTCTGTGCCTCCCCCCAAGGCCACCGCCCTCACCAGCGGTTGCAGTCCTTCATGGTGGCACTGCCAGGGGCATAGCGATGAGTTCCAAGCCGGCAGGAGCACAAGCTGGGGGGCACGCACTCGCCCTTGGGGTCCCACAGCAGTCCTGGGGGGCAGTTACAACCAGCCACACAGCTGCCCAGCTCCCCACAGTCTTCTGGCTCCCCACAGTTTCGACCACACGCTGGGACACACTCCTGGTACTCCTGGCCCCCAGGACACGGGACAGCTGGGCACAGAGACACATGCAGGTCAGGGGCATAACTACTGTTGCTCGGCCCGCCCTTCTGGAATTCCGAAACAAGGCAAGCCCAGCAAACTGCCAAGGTCCGAGGGCCTCCTGGGCACCTTCCCCTGCTACAGAGCTGTTGGATCCCTCGGGGCTCTTGCCAGAAGGGGCTGGGAGGAGGAGCCTGGGGGTGGGGCTGGCTGGCTGAGCCGACTCACGGCAGAGCGTGCGGGTCCTCCAGGGAGACCGGGCACCCTCCTGGGCACGGGGACGAGCAAAGGCAGTGAGCACAGGGCACAGGCAGTCCTTGCCAGGAGCACAGCCGCTCACAGCTGCCAAGCAGCGCAGGTGGAACGGCTCCCTGTCCACCAGCGCTTGGCATTCCTGAGGGGGGAGAGGAGGAAAAAATTGGGTTGGCTCCCCCTCCACAGATTGCCCTGTTCCCTCCAGTCCCCACTGCCACCTCCTGGGCCACGGCAGGGAGCAGGGCCCTCCCAGTAGCCCAGGGCGAGGGCAAAGCAGGTGTTGACCCCATCTTACAGGTGCGAACAGGAGCACCCCCAATCTGGCTACCTGGAAGGTGGGGCCGTGCAGGACAGCACAAGCTGTCTCCGCAAAAACGTGGCGCTGAGTGTGGGTGCCGCAGGGGGAAAGTGGGGCGCTGTCGTCTGCGGGGCAGCTTCCCTCGCCTGCCACCTGGAACTTGCTAGCAAAGGCTGCAGTGCTGGTCTCCACATCGCCAGCAGGTGTCAGGAAGTCATCCTGCTGGTTCCAGGTGAAGGTGCCACACAGACCCTGCACCTGGGCCACAGGAGTGGGTATGGGACAGTCAAATCCGGGCCCACCGTGGCCTTGCCCAGCCACTGGCCTGCCCCCCAGCACACCTGGTGGGCATGGCGGGGGTCCAGAGTGATGTAGGTTGCGGGGTCAGACACTCCCCAGAGGACTTGGGCCCCAGGCCAGCGCAGCAGTAGGAAGGTGGAGGAGGCTCGAGAGACACTGAGGCCCTTAGGCCCACGCCACGGCAAGCCCACATCCTGCCCATCGATGAGTACAGCCCCTGGAATAGAGGGCCTGTGAGGGGCTACCCCTGCGGGACTGGGCTGATGAGGATTGGGGGGGAGCACATCGCAGGAGAGGGCTACCTGAGTCTCTGAGCTGGATGTGGGTGTCCCCAGAGAGACAGAGATGGCGTGGAGGCAGTTCCCCGTGTCACAGGCCCCATGCTCCAGCACAATCAGCAACTGCCCCTTCAAGTCCTGGGGCAGATGGTGAGGAATGTGGTAGAGTGGAGGTGGGGAAGACCCCAAGAACAGGGTCTGTTCTGCACCCTCTCCTGCTCTACAGGACGCCTACAGCACCCACCTGGAGGCAGCTCCCACCCAACGCACGTGCTGAGCACCTTCTTGCCAGCCACACTCTCGGTGAGGTATAGGGCTTAACCCTGGCAAGCGCTAGCACTTGTGAGTATCTCTATGTGTGTGTGCGCACAGGCATGCGTGTGTAAGTATGTAGAGGTGTGTGTGCACGCGCGTGTGTGTGCGTGTTGGTGCAAGATGCCTGCTCTCCCTTTTCCCCGCAGGTATGCATGCTCATCTCTCTGTTTCTGGGCACGCACGTGCTAAATCTGCGGCATATGTCCACACCTGTTTGTGTCTATGGACCTGAACTTGGTAAGTCACCTAACTTGATTGGGGGAGGGCTGGGGAGGAAGGAGAACCCAGATTTCTCCTGGGGTTGTTTTGCAGGAAATAGCCTGTGATAAGCCCAGCCAGTCCGAACTGTGAGAAAGGACTGTGAGGATGGGTTTTGCTTTGTGCCCCTGGGCTAGGGTGGGAACATCACGGGAACCTAAGGCGGAGGCCAGGACCCCAAGGGCAGGTTTTCGGGGTCTGCGGCAAGCCATCCTCCCTCCAGAGTCGGTCCTCTCTCAGCTTTTCCCGGAATGACTGTGTGTTTCTCACTGATTTATTTAGAGGTTTCCCGACCGTCACCTCTCGCCTACAGAGCGCCACTGAGGCCTCCTCCCGGCGTTAACCCCCTACCCACCTGCACCAGGCTGGAGCGGCCACCCGGGCGGCCGCGGCAGGAGAAGCTCCGCCCATCGAAGGTGAGGTAATGCCCGTCCCCGCCCACCGCGCCCTCAGCTGGGCACGGCGCCTGCGCGCAGAGCCAGCGGCCGTCCTGGCACACGCTGTGGGCACACGGGGCGGGAGCGCGCTCTGATTCGGAGCCCACGAGCTCCTGCCCCCGGCCAGCCCCGGGGCCCTCCTTCCGCCAGCAACCCCTGTAACGCTGCAAGGCCTGGAGGTCAGCCGGTGGAGGTCACTGGCTAGGTCTCTAAGCAGGGCCATCAATTATGCCAGGAGAGGTCACAGGTCCCTTGTGAGGGGCCCCCGGAAGGGGAGGCAGGTTGAGGAGACAGCAGAAGGGAGGGCTCCGAGGGCACCACGCGGCCGAAGGGCCAGCGAGGCCCGCGGGCCCACCAGGGGTTGAACAGCTGGCGCACGGTGTCCCCTACCCCAGGGGTAGGGCCGGCGCCGGTGGGAGCAGGGGCAGCCGTAGAAGAAGCCAGAAGCCGTAGGGTAGAAGAGGCCCGGCGGGCACTCGCAGCCGCTCACGCACGCTCCCCGGCAGGACCCCTCCCCTCCTTCACCCACTGCTGAGCAGCTGGCTGGGCAAGCCGAGGTGCAGGGGAGTACAGCTGGCCCCCAGGGCACGGGCGCTCTGTGGGCACGGGAGTGGGCTGAGGTCCAAGGGTCCCCCTCCTCCCGCCAGACCTCGCTTGCCTGCAGCCCAAAGAGAGGGCGCGTGCGAGGAGGCCCAGCGCTCAGGAAACCAGGGTCACAGGGCTGCTGTCAGAAAGGGTGGGGACACCAGGGGCTATGCAAAGAGGGACAGGCACCAGCCCTACCGCAGAAGCCCGGCTTCCTCCAGCCCACATGGATATGCTGCTTGGCACACTCCTGGGCATAGCTGGCCAAGGTGGTGCACACGGCTTCCCGACGGGCCTCTCGCCCACTGCCTGCTGGGGCCCCAGAACTGTAGGCAAAGAGGCAGGCCTGGTGGTACTCAGCAGGGGGAGCCTTCAGAGAAAGGACAGCCCCTCAGTCCACCAGCCTCACCAGCACTCTCTCCTCTTGCCTCAATCATGCTCTGACTTAGAATCAAACAGAATGAGCACTAGAAGGGACCTCTGAGATCATTCATGCAAAGCAACGACAGGACCAGATTCCCTGTTTGGCACCTCTCTAGCACCCACTCCTTCCCGCCCCTCTGGTGGTGGATACCACCTCCACCCCCACCCATGCCTGGGCATGGCATTCCCTGAACGGACTGTCCAGCAGCTGGTGGCACACATCCTGGGCTTCAGCCTCCGTGCCTGCCTCTGTGCCGCTCAGGGGGTCCTCAGCCCTGGGCTGCCTCCACTGAATCCAGACACCCAGGCTGGAGACAACTGAATTCAGGTCAATGGGGGAGGAGGGACATTAACCAGGACACCAGGAAAGTGGCCACTACCCTCATGGCTGCTTCAGGTCCCCACTGTCATGGCCACCAGCCCAGACAACCTGGGGTTTTGGGGGGCAACACAGTCGTAAGCTCTGGTAGGGGGTGGGGGAGCTGGGATCACATCAACCCACAGGCAGGAGGTTTCATAACTAGCTAGTTAACCCAAACTGGTCAGTGACCAGGTTGCTGAGTGTGTCCCCTGGGTGGTCAGTTCACCACTTGAAGTCCATGGGACCCTGAGCCTGCCCCCCACCAAGGGTCTGGGAGAGGGCCAAGCCCTGTTCCAGGGAAAAGGCCAGTGATGAAGACAGAGAACAGAGGCTTGGAGGTATCACAGAAGCCAGGAGCTGGGGAGCAACCAGGAGCAGGGCACTGAGCCTGGGCTCCCTGGGGGCTGTAGTCTCACCTCGGAGTCAGGGAGCCTCCAGGAATTCCCAAAGGTGGCAGCTAACACAACCAGTCTCCCTCCGGGCTCCAGGAAGTCATCTGGGGAAGGGTGAGGCAGAGGTGCCCTGTCTGGGCTCTCCAGTCTTTCCTTACCTCCTATACCAGCAACCGAGTCATGCCCACTTACCCTCAGGCTGGCCATTGTAGACTCCACAGAGACCTTGAGTTTGTCCCTGGAGCTCAGAGTCCACAGAAACGGAGACCGAACTGGACCTGTCCAGGCGCACAATGACCCCCAGGCCCCCTGACAGCACCAGCCAGTCCCCTTGCCACTGCAGGCTCAGCCCTGGGCAGGAGAAGGCAGGAGTCACACTTCCCACCCCTCCCACCATCACATCAAGGCGCAGACTGCTCAGGGAAGGAGAGGAGATGGAATTTTGACAATTCTAGAGAATTCTGCACTTCATACTCTTTAAAGGAGAAACAACTGGTTTTCCCATCAGAGCGCTCTTTGAGAAGTTCGTGGACACTACAGATGCTCTCTTGAGCAAGTAACTCCAAGAAATAAGTAAACTACAAAGCTCTTGTGAGCACGCACACACACAACCCCACCCCCACCTCACTTCATGGACCGAAGACCGGGAAAAAAGCTCTAGTAAGTCAGGGTCCCACCTAATAGCACAAAAGCCCTACTTCCCAGCACTGAGAGGCAGGTGGGGAAAGAGGTTTGTTGTGGGTTTGGGGTTTTTTTTTAAAGATTTTATTAAAGGATTTATTTATCTGAGCGAGAGAGAGATTACACAAGCAGGGGACAGGGCAGAGGGAGAGGGGGAGGGAGAGAATCCCAAGCAGACTCCCTGCTAAGCTTAAAGCCTGGCACCGGGCTCCATCTCATGAACCCAAGATCATGACCTGAGCTGAAATCAAGAGTCAGAGGCTTAACCAACTGAGCCACCCAGGCACCCCTTAAAGATTTTATTTTTAAGTAATCTCCTCACCCAACGTGGGGCTCAAACTCACAACCCTGAGATCAAGAGTCCCTTGCTTTACCGACTGAGCCGGCCAGGCATCCTGATACTCAGAGGGCTTAGTAAGGGACTTGCCCCAAGCCACACTGTGAGGGGATGAGCGGGGCTGGCTTGCAGGAGTCAACCTGGAGACTAGGTCCATGACCTCCTGGCTCCTCAGCAGGCTCCTCATTTCCAAATACCCCCCAATCGCAGTGGGGGGCGGGACAGCAGTCTCCCACTCAGCTGCCCCTTCTGCTGTCCCCTGCCCCCTGCCCCCGGGGGTAGGCAGGCTGTCCCCGAGGAACAAATGGGGCCCTGGGAAGTCTCCTGCTGCCTACAGTACCGTGGAGCAGCTGAGACTCCCCATCAGGTACCAGCTTCCCGTTCACAGAGACATTTTTGCCCTGGATCAGCACCTCCTCGGGTCCCATCATTACTCGGGCCTTGCGGGGAGACACAGAGTGGAAGAGGTGTTCAGCGGCTCACCTCCTCCCCCTGTGCAGCTCCCTTCCTGTGTCCTTCCCCACCTCCCTTCCTCACCAGCTGACAGTGCCCAGGCTGGGGGCAGTGCCCCGGGGCGTGAGGTGGACGGCCCAGGTGGCATCAGCGGCGCCCGCCAGCAGGTAAGCCCAGCGGCCCGGGAAGTGGTAGTGGCGCCCATCAAAGGTCCGGTAGTGGAAGCCCGCCCAGGTGGCACAGGTGGCCGAGGGCCGCTGGCGCTGGCTCCAGAACTAGGCCACGGCCCCTGCCAGGGGCTGCAGGACGGCTGGAGAGGGAGTGCTGCCTGGAGGAGATACACCAACTGTGAGCTGAGTGTGAAGGCAGGAGGGTGGAGCATGAGGCCACGGGGCTTCCCCCAGAGCAGGAGGCAGGTGGAGAGTGAATGAATGGTCACTCTGGAGGCAGGAGGGATGGGAGGTGACTCATCCGAGAGCGCAAGGGAATGGGCATGGGCCCTGCAGGAAGGCCCAGAGCTCAAGGATTCTATGTGGCAGTGCCTGGGCAGGGGGAGAAAGTGATGGCCAGGGCTGCAGACCCACCTGGGAGGGGTCGGCTGGAGCAGCTGAGGCCGGCCTGGGAGCTGCCCTCCCGCCAGCTCTGTCCGCAGGGCCAAGCACAGCACTCCTCCAGGCTTCCTGCAGAAGCATTAGCTGAGCCCGCCTGCTGCTGGCACTGCTGAGTGGCAAAGCAGCGGCCCCCAGGGCTGGCCTCTGCAAGGGCTGTGGCGAGTGGAGGGAGAGAATGGGGCGACCCAGACAGTCAGCCTGGACCCAGCTTCTCTCCCCGGGGAAGCCTCCACGAAACCACAGATCTGGGCTAATAGCAGGTGCTTACCCAGGGTGCAGTGGCTGCCCCCGCAGCCTGGACAGCAAGCCCTCACTGTCCGGTTCCTTGCAGTGAGCCGGGTTTCTGGGGGCCTGGGTCCACCGAAAGGGCAGCAGAGAGAAGATGTTAGTGTTCAGCCCAGCCCCGTCCCTGTCCCTGAGAATGGTCCGGGACATTCAATCTAGTCATCTATTCTCTGAGTGACTCTCTCATGTAATTTCCCTTCCAGTTCTTTTTTTCTTAATATATTTTTGGTGGTTTTTTTTTTTTAAGATTTTATTTATTTGTCAGAGAGAGCACAAGCAGGGGGAGCGGCAGGCAGAGGGAGAAGCAGGCTCTCCACTGAGCAGGGAGCCCGACGCAGGACTCGATTCCAGGACCCTGGGATCATGACCTGAGCCGAAAGTAGACGCTTAAACGACTGAGCCACCCAGGCGTCCCATCTCTTCCAGGTCTTAATTTCCCCTTGTGCAAAGTGAGAATGATGTTGGGAAGGCAGACTGGAGGGGAGGCACAGGGAGCAGACATCGTACCTCTCCCCGCACTGCCTGCTCCCTGTGCCGCCTGTCCCCAACCCCACACCCCTGACTCTTCTTGAACCCAGCCAGACCTACTTTCCAAACGCCTGCTTCTCCAGGACACCACCCAGTTCACCTTCCCCCCAGAATGTTGGCTCCATTGCTCTCTCCTGCTCAGCAGCTACCCCAGGCGCCGACCCTCACTCACTTGTAGATGGGACAGAGCCCAGCACGTCCACTCCAGGACAGGTCCAGCTGCCAGCCCAGGCGCTGGTAATAGTAGAGGCTGGTGCAGGGCACCAGGTCCTCCTGGTGGGGGACAACTTCCTCCTCCACCAGGAAGGTTTGCGTATGTTCACACCACCGCCTGCCCGCAGATGGGGAATGACAGCTACAGTCACCAGCCCCTCTATTGCCAAGAAGCCCTGTCCTGTGGTCCCACTCCCCAAAGAGCCCCTCCCAGGGAAGGGTTAGTGAACTGAAGAGGAGGCTGGTTGGGAGCAAGAAGCATAGGAGGGCGCCTGGCTGCCCCAGAGGGTCCTGTTCGTGAGGTGGGAGCAGAGGATCTTAGTGAGAGGGGCCCCAGGCTGGGCTGCTTACCCGTTAGCCAGTGCCCATGCCATCCCAAAGAGGAGGGCAGGAAGCAGCATGGTGCTCCCCGCCCAGGTCACCTTTGGGGGGCTGTGAGCCTTGGGTTTGGGGAAGGCACTGCTGCGGCAGGTGAGCCGAAAGGCCAGTGCTGGCCCCCCCCCCGTCCCACACTGCAGTCTCCAGCAGCCAGGCTTCAATGCGTCCAAGGCAGCCAGACAGCTAGAACGAGGCCCATGGGGCTGGGGAGGCTTTATCTCAGCCCCATGCCCCAGGGCACCAGCTGCTCGGAACCAGACTGGACCTGCCTGCACACGGCACAATCCCCTCAGAGGCCCGCTCTCCTGGAAACAGTCCCCTTCCTGCCCCTCGTGTGTGTGTGTGTGTGTGTGTGTGTGCTTGCACGAGCGCTTACTCCTGTCTGTGCGCTCAGCGGGGGGGTGCATGTGGTCCAGGCCACAGCCAGACACCCTGAGCCTCTGATATTTTCCACCCTCAGCCTGTGCCATAAATTAAGGTGGACTCCAGACAAGGCACCTTCTCTTTGTGAGCCTCAGTTTCCTTGCTAGTAAAAAATTTAGGGGCTTCCCAGGGATGCTTGGGGGTGACTCAGGGGCTCCACTTTGAAATTGTGTGTGTGCAGGGGCGCCTGGATCAATTGGTTAAGCGTCGGACTCTTGATTTCGGCTCAGGTCATGATCTCCGGGTGGTGGGATCAGGCCCTATGTTAGGGCTCCATATTCAGCGTGGAGTCTACTTAAGATTCTCTTTCTCTCCCTCTGCCCCTCCCCCCCCGCACCTGCTCTCTCTCTCTCAAATAAATAAATCTAAAAAAAAAAAAAAAAGAAATTGTGTGTACACATTTCCCTGAGGATAGTTCCATAACTGTTATTACATTCTCAAGAGGAACTAGGACCCCACAAAATGGTTAAGTTATTGTGCCAAATGACTGATATGGTCTTCTAGCCCTAAACTTCTGTGATTCTGTCCCTGCTCCCTTTCCTGCCTCCTCCTGCCCCCTCTTGTAGGCAGTAGGCACTTGTGAAGCCAGGACCAGTGAGCAGAAGGAGCTGAGTTTCCAGGCTGGTTGAACTGTGGGAAGACAGTGGGAGAGCATGTGCCCTTTCCTCTGTGGTCCAACCTCTTACTGGGGGTGATTATGTGTGGCTGGCTGGGTCCATTCTGGTCTCCTTTTGAGAGAGTCTCCTAGGGTCCAGAACCAGGAAGCCTGGGGAGGGGAATAGAGCAAGCCTCCGGGAGGAGGGGCAAGGGTGGAAAGTGTGTGTGTTGGGGGGGGTGGTAGGAGACAAAGGGGCCTGGAAGGCAGCCTCCCCTAACCCTGGGGGCAAGGCAGCCGGATGGGATAGGATCATCTGAGTATCCGGTTGGGGCAGCAGGTGGCCCAGGTGAATCCTGGTTACATCTTGGTTACCAACTCCCAGGACACCCAGGCTGGAATGTGGCCTGGGCCTCAGATTCCATAAACCTCCATCCCCTAAATCTGCTCTCCCACTGAGCATCCCACATAGTTACCCCACCTCGGGCGAGGAAGCTGCTGGGAACCAGAGCCAATCTAGGCATTTCTCCTGGGCCCACCACTGGTCCTGTGGCCCAAAGAGGGTGCAGTGAGTCCCTCAGGGAGCTCTCAGGTGGGGTCCTCAGAAAAGGCCAGGGTTGGGCCATGAGCATGTTGCTGTTCCCAAACTCTCACACACGTACCCCATCCACTCTCCCCCTGTTGCTTCACATGCTCACACCCCCTCTGCAGGTCTCACAAGTGTTCATGCCCCACCCTAGCACAAAGAGACATCTACTCCCGGGGCCATGAGCCCATTGGGCACTGACTAGCTGAAGGAGCCCATCCAGGAGGTTGAAGACCCTTTCCCAGCTGATTCCGAGGTACCCCGTGCTCTCCCAGATACCACCCGCTCCCATGCCTCTCCTAAACGGCAAAGAATATTGATGGTGCCCCGGCTGTGAGCTGTGCCTCTCTTTGGAGGACTCCCTCCCAGCTCTGGATTTTAACTGCAGGTGATAAGGCAACACTTGGAATGGGGAGAAACACAAGTCACAATGCCCCTTTCCCCTAAAGAGGGCAGGAGGGAGGAAGCTGGAAGCCAGGGGAGATTGGAGAAAGAGAGATGGGAGAGGGGGCCTGGAATAACCAGCCCACATTTCAGCTGGACAAGGACAGGATATAGGGAGCTTTCAGAAGGAGTCAGGTGCCTGGGTGGCAAGGCCGAAGAAAACCATCATAACCCGGGCGGGGACCCCAAGTCCCCCCCAGAAACCGGATCTAAGGGCTGAGGGCATCCCTCCACACCTAACTGGTACAGGTTTCCAGGCCAGTAGGAGGACCGGCTCCCACCCCGCCCAGAGAACTCTCCCCTCCCAGCAGCCCCCTCCCCGGGACCCCGCCCTCTGAGTCTCCGCCCAGCCCGTCTCCAGCCTCACCCCCTGGAGCCTCCTCTCCAGCCCCGCCTTCTCCCTGGGGACCCGGCTCAAAGCCCCCCACCCCAATTTCTGTTTCAAAGAGCCCGTTCTCGGCGGGCACTGAGGCCCAGCTCGGTCTCCTTCGACCACCCCTCGCGGCCCCTAGTGACCCGACTCCCGCCGCGGGTGTCGAATCGGGTCCTCCGGAATCGGCCGGCGGTTGTGGGTCTGAGCGGATCCCGGTGGAATCGCGGTGGAGAGCAGGGGCGGGGGCGGGGTTTCCCAAATCGACCCCACAGACCGACAGTCGGGAGACTCGATCCCACCGCGACGAAGCGCCGCACAGATACGCTCCGGGGGGGAGTGGGGGGGGGACTCGCGATTCAAAGACAGCAACGCAGACACTCACTGGCTCTCCTCCTCCGAGCACGCCCCCTCCTCTTCCCCTCCCCACCGCACCCCCTCCCCTCGCGCTCCACCTTTCCCCTGGCTCCTCCCTCGGCGCCTGCGAGCACCCTCCCGCGCCGCCCGCGTGCCCTTCCTCCCTGCCTCCTCTCCCTCCTCCACCCCTCCCCCAACACTCCTCCCTTCCCTTCCCCCTCTTCCCTCCCCCCCACCTCGTTCCTAGGCTCCCACTTTCCATCACCTACTCTGGGCCTCCGTCCCTCCACATCGTCACCTGCACGCCTAACCCCGCCGTGCGCCCTCCTGCGACCCCACTCCAGCACCCTCCTGCCCCTACCTCCCCCACGGGGTGCCCCGCAGCTCCCCTCCCGCTTCCGCGCTCCCCTCCCCCCTGCCGGGCGCCGCTTCCCCGCTCCCGCTCCCTCCGCGTCTTTTCCTCTCCCCTCCCCGCGAAGTTTCGGGGCTGTCAGTCTGTCAGTCTTTCGGGCAGTCGGCACCCGAGCTACAGGCAGCGGGCGCCATTGCGAGCAGAACCGGCCGGGACAGAAGGCCGGGGCGCCTGGGTCCCGCCAGCAGCGGGGAGACCCGACCGGCCAGCCCGCCAGGTACGGGCCGTGGAGGCGCCCAGCGGCAGGCGGCTCCGCCCGCTTCCCCTTCTACACCGACACTCAGTCACTGCCCGCTCCGCGCAGGTGACAGCCCCGGGGGTGGGGGCGCTGGGAGCGCTGGAGGGGGTGGGGTGGGGTTGGGGGGGCAAGAAAGGGCAGGGGAGGGGCAGGGGCTGGAGGAGGGAGGGGCTGGGGCTGGGGAGAGAGGGCCTGGCTTGGGGGTGGTCACGGTAGTCGTGAAGAGGAGGAGGACCGCGGATCTGGAGGGAGGGGCGGAGGCTGGGGAGAGGGGGCCGGGTGGGAGTCGGTGGGAGAGGGTTGGGAGGCTCCCGAAGGGAGGGAGTGAGGAGTCTCCGGACAGGGGAGAGGGAGTGTGGGAGGGGGGCCGTGGGGGAAGGGGGGACGACGAGGCCAAGGGATCTGGCCTTTTGGGAGGGGCGGGAGAGAAGGGCGCTGACAGGTGAGCCCGGGAGCCGGGGAGGGGCTGGGCCCTGGAGTGAGGTCTGGGCGAAGAGGCTCTAGGGGACAAACGGAGGCGGGGAGGTGGGACGGGAGGGGTCTGGTCGGGAGGAAAACTTGGGGGGGGTAGAAGTCAGTGGGGAACAGAAATGGGGAAGGTAGCCACTGAGAGAGAGGGGAGGGAAGCGGAGGTGTGTTGGGAGGCAGGGGTGGGGAGGAGCAGGGTCAGTGAGAAGGTCCAGAGCGAGCCGTAAGCCACAGACTCCCAGGCTTGGGGGAGCCTGGGGACAAGGGAGGGAGCTCGGGGAGCGGACTGGAAGGGGGAGGGGAAGAGCGGTTCTAGGAACTGGGGACCGGGAGGGTAGGGAAGCGAGAGCCTGCTGGGGAGGCAAAGGGGGAAGGGAGACGGGGGCCTCGGAGGGGAAGGCAAGCTGCAGGAGGGAGGTGGGGAGAGAGGGAGGAGGATGGTGTGGGGACAGGGGAGGAGGGCTGGGGAGGGGGGAGGGAGGGAGGGAGGGAACTGAGGTGAAGAGAGGAAAGGAGAAGGAAGGGAAACCAGAGTGGGGGAGGAGAGGGAGAGGGGAGGGGAGTGCGGGGTGAGGGAGAAAAGCGGGGAGGAGGAGGGCGGCGTTAGGGAGGAAGGAAAAGAGGAGGGGGAAAGGAAGAGAGAGGGTGTGCAGCCGGGGAGGGGGATGGAGCCTGGGGGAGAACCGGGAGGGAAGGGAAAGGCGGCCCTGAGCCGGGGGAGGAGGAGGGGAGGGCTGTCGCCGCGACTGCCCGGAGCTGAGGGTCAGGGGGGCGGTGGCGGGGGAGGGCCTACCGGAGGGGGCCGGGAGGGGCTGGCCCGGCTGTGAGCAGGGGGAGGAGCCGGGGGGCGGGGCAGGGGGCGGGGCTGGGGAGCCGGCCGGATTCGGCGGGGAGAGAGGGCGGAAGGCAGAGGGAGCCGGAGAAGGGAGGGGCAGAGGGATGGCTGCCAGAGAGCCGGGGGTGGGGGGGGAGGAGAGAGGAGTCCGCTGGGGGAGGGGAAGGGAACCCGCTGGAGGAGGAGCTGGGAAGGGGGCTCGAGGGCGGGGTGCGGCGGCCCGGGGAAGCCCTGAGGGGGAGGGGCGTTGGTTTTGAAGTAGGGTTTTGGGGAGAGGAAGCAAGAGCCATTTCCT